GTTATATAAAAGAGGTGACTATGTATTATTTAATCACCTTATCTAGGAATATGACTGGAATACTCTTTTTGCTACATGTAAATCTGTTGATTCGGCTAGTGAACGTTTTACTGAGTTTTTTCTCGATTTTGCTTGTAGAACAATACCACATAAAGAAGTTACTATAAGACCTAACGATACGCCATGGATGAATTCAGACCTGAGAAAAAATATGAGACTACGCGATAGATTACGAAAAGCAGCCAAGCATTCTAAGCATCCACGGGATATATCTAAATTCAAAAATCAGCGAAACAAAGTTAATAGCATGAAAAAGCATGCTAGAAAATCCTTCTATGAAAATGTTGGAAATCTTATTGATTTTTATTACTCATCTGATCCTAAAAAATATTGGCGACTGGTCAAGAGATTGATGGGAAATTCAGGGACTTCGCAGTCTATTCCTTCTTTAGCTGATTTAACATCGGGACGTTTATTAGTTGACGATAAGGACAAATCAAATTTATTGAATAATCATTTTTGCAGTATCACTAACATAGATGATAACAATACTGATATTCCTATTTTAGAACCGAAAACGGAGAGTTCATTTGAATCTCCTATAATTAACTATAATGAAATATGTGATGTCTTGTTGAATTTAAAACTTGGCAAAGCCTCAGGCATAAATGAAATCAGCCAGCATATGTTGAAGTACACTGCAAAAACTGTATGTAAACCACTTGAATTTCTTTTTAACTTATCGTTCTCTACTTGTATTTGTCCTGATATTTGGATTTTTTTAGAAGGGTGATGGGCATTCTCCTTCTAACTATAGACCGATTTCTCTTTTGTCTACGGTTGGTAAAACATTTGAAAGGGTTATCTTTAAGTACATAATTATTTTTTGGAAAATTCTCTATTTTATCATTACCAATCAGGATGTATGCCTGGCCACTCAGCTGTGTATCAATTAATGGAATTATATCATACTATTTGTCTTGATCTAGAAGAAAAAAAGCATACTTGTTTAGTTTTCTGTGACATCTCAAAAGCTTTTGACAGAGTCTGGCATAATGGTTTATTAGTCAAGTTAAAATTATATGGTATCTCAGGAAATTTCCTTTCTTGGATCGAAAACTACTTAAGCAACAGACAACAGAAAATGTTTATAAATATTCCTCTGATGATGCTGGTTTGATATGTGCTGGAGTTCCTCAGGGTTCAATTCTTGGACCATTGTTTTTCTTAATTTATATAAATGATATCGCGGAAGTACTAGAATCTACAACACGTCTCTTTGCTGATGATACGTCTTTAATAACCTCTCCATCTTCTCGTCTAGATATATACAAACAGTTTTGAATAGGGACCTGGATGCTTTTAATTTACAAAACTTATATATTACCAGTTTTAGAATATGCATGTGAAGTTTGGGATGGTTATACTCTGGTCGATTCTGAAAAGTTAGAGAGGGCTCAACGTGAAGTAGCTAGAATAATTACAGGTTTACCGGCATATGCTAGAAATGAATCATTATATACAGAATCTGGTCTTAAATTACTTTCAGATAGATGAAGATGACGAAAACTTCAGTTAATCTACAAAATGTATAGGTATCAAACCCCAAACTACCTAACAAATCTACTTCTCACTAAGGTAGGAGAAAACCGACATGCTCTTAGAAATAATGATGACTACAAAATTCCCAATTTCAGACTCTCTACTACTAGTTTATCTTTCTCGCCTTCTTCATTAAAAATGTGGAATACTCTAGAATATAATATTAGATCCATGTCTTTCTCATCTTTCAAATCAGCTCTAGTCCCCAACATACCATATACAGTACCCTCTCATTACCTACGTGGTGACAGAAAACTAAACATTCTTCATACCAGACTAAGACACGAATGCAGTCCTCTCAAACATGATCTTTACCGTGCAAACTTCGTCCAAGACTCCAATTGTATAAATTGTGGCTACCATTGTGAAAATGCCTATCACTTCTTCTTTGAAAGTCAACCTTACACAAATGCTCGTACTGTACTTTTTGATCATATAAATCATTTAAATGTATATTTAACGTTGAGATTATTACTGTTTGGAAATGAAAATCTGGATTTGGATACAAATTGTGATGTATTCATACAAGTGCAAACTTTTATTAGATCCAGTGGAAGATTTTAACATGTTTTGATAATGAACTTGACTTTAAAATGTGTTGGGTTTTTTGTTTGTATGTGTATGTGTTACTTTAAACCATAAGTGTGCTATGTCCTTCATACCCATTCTATAACTGTGTAATATTGAATAATTTTCAGGAAAACTGTTCCTGATTTGAAAAGTACATGCGCACTGATCTATGCAATATGAGTCTTCAATTTTAGATTTTTTTATATTACGGTTGGCACGAAAATAACAAGCTTTTTTAAAACTCATGAAAACATTCAAATTCTAGCATAATCCATTTGTTTAGGTAATGTTTATCGAAACTGAATTTCTGACATATATCTGCCGGCGTAATGTTCTAATTATGCATTTTCTGATTTCAGTGGTAGATTCATTGTTTGTCGCCTTGTTGCGTGGTGGGTGGAGAGATAAAAACTGGCTGTTTTCAAGCGTTCATAACGACAGACGCAACACTTTAATTGTAGAGATGGCTAAACACAGCAGTCTTGGCGGCGAGATAACGGGACGGCCCGACTTCAGTGACGTTGGATCGCTAAGTGGCATGACGGCCATATTTGTATGTCTGAGAGATAACAGTGTGCTGCCAGAAGCAACACTCATCACCTTGAGTGATGTCCAACAACGGCAAACGATCATCAATTTCCATGGAGGGTCTACAGCACTCGATCAACTTAGTGACCACAACCTTGCCAGTATGTGCGACTAAATAGCCCTACCCGAATGGTGTGTGCTGATCATCTGTGTGCTCGGTGCAGTCGTATATTGATATACTATGTGACTTAAATTAAACGGGAAACTACGAGACTTTTGTAGCCGATTTTGATTCCACCATCATAATGCCATGAGAGATAGTAGGTAAGACAACTATATGATGCAACATTGGAAAACTGCTTTCTGGTGTTGTCTACTCACAGGGGACACATGTCAATGAAAACACTACAGCCTGGGAAATATTATTCTGTAAACACGGAACAGTTAAATAATTTACCGGATTTTACAATCAGCCACCGATACAATGTAGTCCGATACCATTATCGTACGTACCGCTGAGCAGCTAAAATATCTTTACCAATATCGATGTATTTTATTGCTTCAACCAACCACATACTCAAACAGAAACTGTTGTAAATTTCTCCTATAATTTCTCCTAAAAAAGCTCCGTAGTCGCCAGGACTTTGGGGAAATTATGGCCTTCAAAGTTGCCCTACTTAACTCTCGTCGGTGTCATAGCAAATGAATAGCTAAAGTTGATATTTTTGACCGTGAATTGAAAAGTGGGTTGCTTCACGAAAAGAATATTCCCAACCCTCTTCAAGCACTCCCACAATGTATGACCAAAGTCAAACCAAAATATCTACGAGAGACCACGACTGTCATCTTGAACGTTAAAAGTTAACAAAATGTCGGTCGTTTGACATTAACTACGCCCAATAGATATTACTCCCACAAAGATGGTACTGAAGGTCGTCACACCTACAGAATATTTGCATTATGACAGGAAATGCCTATATTTGGCTCATACGCAGATTCCTGACAGCAGTTCCAATCAAAGTTTATGAAACATCACACACTTATTCCTTACATCAACCTCTGGAGACTTGTCGGAGGTCAAAATCATAGCTATAGAAATATACATAATAGTGGAAGTTACAAGTTTATCCATGCTTTTCTGTCTAAAATTTCAACCAAATTTCACAAAGCAATTTTCCACACATCAATCCATGATCACAAGTTGAAGGTCAGGGTTGCATATTCCAGGTCAAGGTCATAGCTACAGAATCTTAACATCAATATGGGAAATCGAATTCCTTCTTAAAATCCTGAGAGCTTCACAAAAATTCTGTCATCTACGAGAATTCTTATGGATAAAGTGCATGGCGGAAGAATATCGATGGCGGAAGAATAGTAACTGTGATTGTTGGTTGATTGTTCCCTAACAAAGGTAGCTCCATCATCGTAGACTTCAATTTAACTATCCACACCAATTCACAATGATACAAATGATATCAAAATAGATAATGTATTTAATCACTCATTCGATAAAACGCTTGTATGCATCGCATAACTCCTTGTGTGTCAATAAACGCCAATGACAATGACAATTGTTTTATTCTCATAAACAATACAGTGTAGAGAATACATATATACAAATGGGTGGCAATAATACATGGTGGAACAGGATGGACATTAGTATTGTAAATTAATTATGTCATTAATATTGGTAATAAATTTAGCCAATGATGTCAATTCATGTTGTGTTACATAATTGAATAATGTATGATATTTAAATGTGTTTGGCGATGTCGTGATACTTTTGTGATTTGATTGCCCAAACAAAGTGCAGGAATGCAAATTGCATAATAGTTGGTGGCCTCCCATGGGAGCCGTGCCATTATATAGTATAGATAGCTATTAAGCTTAATATGATAATTGTTCATGTTTATAAATAGTCTTCGCAGTTATAATGCATAACGTTAATTCACAGGGTGTGTAAAACCCTATTTCGGCATGGCAATATTAAGCGGAAATCACATAGCGGATTCTCGACCAACTTTAAAAATATTCAAACTTGAATACGTCGTGATTGTTAATTTCTTTATCAATCAACACTATGATAACAGGGATTCAATATTTTCTTCATTTTAAAAAGATCGAAGAGTTCCTCCCGTTTTGATATTTTGTAAAATTAACGTAGTCGATTACATTATGGCGGGCTATGTCAAAACGACAAGTACGTTACACATGCAGCTTTTTAAATTGTATTTACTTTCTTGGTACCGATGGCTATATGTTGTCATTGTTTAGCTATTTAAAAATTGTATTATATGATGTCATCTTGATTAAACTTTTTTTTTTATCATCTACTATCTGCGATATTTGCAGTACTCGTACTTTCTGTTGTTCATCTGATGAAAAAAATAACGATGTCGGTCGAACCTCGGATTCGTCGAATACCATGGATTCCTCGAACTAATGATCAGGACCCTACAAGCTCGAGTTAGCGGGGGTTTACTGTATGTGTAGGCTATCCGGATTCATTGTATATACGACAAAGGTTGTTGTGTAGAGTCAACTAGAATCTGTTTTAGGCATGAGGTTTTGAATATTTTGTTTTTACTGTTCTATATGGCAATTTTGTCCATTTAAGACCTATCAGTGGTATTCAAGGTCAACGAGTGATACTGTGATGAATCCTTTTTAGTATTAATTTTCCGACTCTGCCGAGCAGACATGAGTCTTCAGATACTCTGTAATGCTGAGGGTGCAGTATAAAAAAGAATAAGTCTGTACTGAAATGCATAGCCGTTAAGTTTGATATATTCTTATCAAAAATTAGGTATAATTGCCAGTTTTTCGGCCTAGTTTCGGAATGTAAGCAAATGTTTTCTATTACTTTATATCTTAAGGTATCTAGATTTTTTGGATGCGAAACATATTGTAGCAGGATTTTCTCGAACATTTTTGGTATTGACGTCACTGATACAGCCTTTTTCAGAATGTCGTGAAACTCCTTTATCATCCGATTGCTCGGATTCATTGAACATGTTCAGTTAATGCAGTTACTACACCGCGAATTTGTTATTTTAGGACCTAGCAATTAAATTGCCAAAGATTATGCCAAATCCATGTGATTAATGTTTGTAATTGAATATGTTTGAAAGAGTTAATCCACTTGATCGGAAAATGATTAGCGCAAACATTATCACTCATTAGCTAGTTTCACAACGCCATGTTGAGTATCAATGTCTTTGCCTCAGAATTATGCAGCTCTAACAGTATCGAGGACTCATCAGAATTTCAAATTTTTACAATTCTGTACGTTTTAACAATAATAAGTTCCTTCTTAAAGGTCATGCATTTCTTACCTCGTTTTCAAATGAGTGCAGTACAAAAAAGGGGTAATCGATCAGCAAGGTCTACATCAACGCATAACGGCTATGTCAATGTAAGAAAATCAATGACATTAGAATTTCTATACAGAAAATGTGTGCGCTGCTTTACAAATGAAAAACCAAAGATTATAAAAACATGATGGTGTTAGCTCGGGTAATTGTGTATGTCACATCACGAACAGTGTTTATCAAATAATCTTGGCACTGAAGCCTTGACATTAGATCTGTTGCCAGTTGTTAGGGGAACCTAGTTATAAAAATATGTACTTTATGTTCGAACCATTTCATTCTCCATTAAAACATTACGCATTAATCATCAGAAATTGCTTTTTATTTTACACTGTATAAATAATACAATGTATCACTGGAGATGGATTTGCAGATGAATTTCATGAGTAGTATATGTACAATTTTACTCTCTGTAACGATCACATGTAGGCTTAGAGGAGTGGTTTAACCACAAACGTTGTTATAGAATAGTGCTTTAATATATGCTTTCTTTAACGTTGCTAAACAATTATTAGCGGGGTGTTCAGAATTTAAAACGACTTATGATATGCACAGCAAAAAACAAAAGGTAAGGTAAACACTTTTTTTTTTAATTCAGATACGTTTATCCTCTTTTTTTAAAAAAAAAATTATTATCAACTTAGTAACGATGTTTGAAATGTTGGTTTGTTAAAATGTTAAAAATCAGGGGAAATGCCGCGCTGAATTGACGATAACGGAAAGGCAATAAAGAGCCTGTTTAGTACCGCACATAACTATTGTTTGTGCCGATAACAGCGTTGCAACGTCGTCACATGTCACATGTAAACTGACGGATACGGGGAGTGGTGGCGTTATCCAATTCATCGGCCATAGTTTTGGTCAGCTTCTGCTAGTTAGACGGCTTATTTCGACTTATTTTGACAACTTCGATAACATTCACAAGTTTGCAGATATATTCTATCAACGTTTTACATTATACGCAAACAATGCACTACGTTTCAAGACCGACTGCTGAAGCTCTGACCACGTGAGCGATTTGTATATATTACCTGTACAACGATGTAACGCAATTGTTAACTTCATATGTGTCACACGACACGGGACGTTTAGCCTATAAATAGAAAGTGAGCTTGATAGTCATAGCTTGCAGAAAGGACCAGTCGGTCTTGAAACATTGTGACAAGTTTAATACGTACATTGTTTGTGTACAAAATAAAACTTTGACACGGCTGATTTTGCCGTTTCTTAACCCGTAGCCTAAGAATATCCTGAACGTTCTCTTTGGGCGACTGCAGACAACGTGACGGTTATAAAGTATACGCATTGAGCAAGGATACGTATCGGTATATACTACATCAGTATCGTGATAGGAGACTTATTTAATTAGAAAACAAATCACTTTTTGTGCACAATATGGCCATTTAAATTTCTTTTTTATATTAAATCAGGAACTTCATTTCAGATTATTTTCTGTAGTTGTTACCTGTAGCAATGCTAACAGTAAGGTGAACCACGGCATTAGATCAGATCTAAGTCTGTGGGTAGACATACTGTTAATGCTATCATCCACAATTTAAAACATCTTAAATTTGTCCTGTTCACACAGATTCCTAAACCCATTTTCGAGTCTCTGTCCAGCTGAACTTAAGTACAGGGTTTTACAGTGCATCAACTTTCAAATTACTGTTTCAATGTGTTACAGTTACACAAAATATTTACTTCACACAAATTGCTTACAGATTATGGAAAAGATTACTGAAATTCAGTTGTTTTGAATGTTAATATTGTATTGAAACACTTATTTCCATTGCAAATATTGTTAAATATATGTCTTGCCTTTTCAAAGTTGGTTACGCCACCGTGTCAGTTATGAAGTGACTTAGTCAATGTTTTATAGCATGTAGCACGTTACCCAGATTAGGGATGTAACGGCTGGTATAAGTCTATTCGTATAATGACGTCAATGTTATCATATTTCATTTTCATTCTTTTGACATCATCATTATATTTTGTTGTGATGTTACCATGAATAAATGGGCTTCTTCTTACTGAAGAACAGCTTCAAAAGTAGCAGAAAGTGCTAGGAACCTTACTCTGTGTATGTGTGCACTTTCACAATGAGGCTGTTACATAATGATTATAGTCTATGGTGACACTCACTCAGTAAACAATACATTTCCATGACTTCGACAATACTTGTGGGCGGAAATATGCAAATTTTCTGCGATTTGTTGATTTCAACAGCTGTAGATGTGGGCGGATTTTACCAGTGCTTATGCAAATTTCAGGATTGTACTTGTATTAAACCAATCACACGTTAGTATTTTTTTGAAAATGAAATGCGTACCTTCCGACAAGACATATCAATAGTTATATATACACGGAAAAAGTACCGTAGATAAAAGTGAACGTTTTATTGTGGTCAGGTTATGAGGTGAGATGACGTGCTCAACTGGAATAGCTTTCTGTTTTGGTAAGGTAACGAAATGATAACTCTAGTTAAGCAAAAGTAAATGTATTTTAGATGGCTTTGACATGTATTCAGTTTACTCATTCGTAACCTGACCGAAATAGAAAACTATTCCCTGAATAGGCAATGCATGCAAATATCTCACAATGTTCAACGTTGATTGTAGAATCCAAGATCGTCGATCAAGGCACTCAATTTTAAATTATTGAGGATTTCAAAGATTTTCTTCATGGGCAGTGCTCTCTCTGGTCGATGACGAAATGCCAAGGCTTCTGGTTTTTCTTTTTGTTTAGTAAAGTACACATCAGGCAAGCAGCCAAGGTACAACCCTTGAACATAAACATCTTTGGAAGAGCAAGAAGGATCGACATGCCAACAGGGTGAACCAGAACATCCATTCTCAAAGAACTCTGTGCACTTAAAAGGTACTTGACCTAAATCGTCCAGGTCGAAAAATTGGTGATCTGTATCCTTAAGTTGTTTTTGGTCAGTTTTCCTACGTGACCACCAAATGTTGGAGTCATCAAAAGAATGCCCTTTAAAAACCGGACACCACGTTGCTATAGCAACATTGGTGATGTCCTGTCCTGCTTTACATCCAACCAGGTGCCAGAACTCGTCAATACCACGGAAGTCAAGCTGTAGGGGATCTGGGAAGTTGGAACCAGTTGATGCCTTCAGCATCAATAGGATAACGTCATGCTCCTGGCTCATGAATGGAATGTTTCTCTCAAAATGAACATTTTCTTTTTTGCCCTTCTCACAGAGAAAGTCAATGCTCAAACCTTCCCACCTCTTGACTACCTTCTCTTCGTTTTCAGTGTAGTCTAAAAATAAAAATTGTAAATTTACATTTAGGATATGGAAAGGAAACACTTTCCAACTACCCATTACCACTCTGTCAAGCTCCACAGCATATTTATATATTCATCAAGATTACCACTTTGACATTGATCAGAAGAAACTGAAGATGCACAAGAGAAACTAGTTTAAGTACATGTACATGTCTGAATGGAATTAAAAAAATCATAATGAGCATCATTTCTATGATTGAAAATTGGGGATCCAAGGCAACTTAGTATGACCACCATCAAATCTTTATCCGTTTTAGGTAACATTGGTATTGCATGGTCTTCTTTTTCCTAAATATCGGCCAATCAGCATTATTTTCTCATATACTGTAGCTCAAAACAATACATTTATGAACAAGGAAGAACATACTTATAAGAATAACATTTCAGAATTATTTACACACTGTATTCTGATACACAGTGGCAACAAGTTTAGGAAGTCAAATTCAATATGTGTGCGTTAATATTTGGGCCAACAAGAGTGATTCATATAAGTTGAAATAACTTGTTTCATAATTGGTGTAAAATAAATAAAATTTATGTTATATTAACTATGTAGATATAGGCTACAGATTATGTTAATATTCAAGAACCAAAATTCCTATGACAGGACTGGACCCCAGGACAATCCAAGTAACATGTGTATTCATCTGTACATGATGAAGAATTTTATAAATAATTATAAAAAGGGAATCACATTGGTCATCATGTTTTGAACAAGATACTACATCTCCATTAGGGAAGGGACCAACAATTTCCTGGTAAAATTGATTTGTTTTTTCCAAAATGTCCAATATGTGTATACATTGGTTTTTGGGTAGGTCTCAAGTGTCTTTAAGGAATCACTCTTTTTCCCTCATCAGGGTTGGGAACAGGTCCCAGAGCAAAATATTGTAGCATTGATGTATTTTCCTTTTGATATCAAGCATATAGGCACATGTATATACAGTTATAGGGATCTCAACCTTTTGAGTTAAAACTCAAATTATGTTATTGGGCTTTATCCATTTGGTGGGGAAGGAACCCAGAAATGTGCATTCATTTCTTTGTGTCCAGCTTTGTATATAATTATGGTGCTAGGTATGCATGGTGGAAATCTTTGAACATTTCAAGATATGGCCTAATTTCTCTTATGGACACCATCACAATATGGAAACAAAACCAAGGACAATTCTGGTAGGATAAATGTGTTAGTGTAATGATGTTGAGTAAAGCTTTATGTGTGTAAGGGTTTATGTGTGTAAAAGATTGATAAGGTTGCTTTACAAGCGTCAGCTGTAGGGAATTTCCCTTTAGCTCAGAGGTAGAGCATCAGGCTGGAGGGTCGCAGGTTCGAGCTCCAGCGATGGCACTATCTTTATCCCTATTCCTCGTCCTCCTACATGTGGATAGAGGGTGGAAATCCCAACTTTTTCAAACCTTTGCACGATTTCTTGTATTAATATTGGGCCCTTTTACTCTATCCGAGGAAGCCCCCCTGGCCTGAGGATGCTTTCTACATCTTTGGTTTAAAACTCTTCATAGGTACTAATTATAGATGAGAAGGATTTTATAGATATGTCTATTTCCATTATTAATGTACCTCACTTTTCTGCCCTAGTATTGCAAAAACCTTCCATTCATTAAATATGAAGTCCCTTTTGCCCAAGGATGCTCTAGATTAGATTTGCTTTGAATCCTTTCATTAATACAGATAGTGAAATGGTAATTTCTTTAGAAAAAAACCAATATCACACAAATGTAATACTGGGACCTAAAACAAAAATTATGTATGTACACTATCATATGTAAGGCATAAATATGTGACCGACCCTGGAAAAACGACCAAATGCACACATATCATTGACATTTTCTATAGAAATTTACTTTTATGGTTAATCAAGGTGCAATATATTCTGTTCCTTATTAGATATGAGGATCTGTAAAACCAAGTGACTGTGTCAAGGTCTTGACAAAACATTAAATCCTTGGTCAGGTTACGTCAAACAGATTTTATTTTTTTTAATGTTGGACTGGGTAAATGCAGTCTTAACAAAACTTGGGAGATTCATGCTCTTTTGATTATGTTTTGCTGGTTGATGTAATTATTTATTATTAATGTTGAGCATTATTGATTCATTCGTATTGATTCGTATTGTAAAAAGTCTGTTCTCCTCTAACAATGCTGCATGAATAGAAATCCATATACGTGAATGCATTATGCATATGTAGTCTTATAAGATCATTAAAAATATTCATGTATCCAAGCACAGAGTGAGGAAATTAAATTGTAGCATTGCTTGATGTCTTCAAAGAACATAAAAATTTGATCAATTTGATCAATTTTCAAGTTCTGCAGCTGTGTATGAATACACCCCATACCCAATATAAAGTAAATACATTTTCCCTGTAAATGCTTTTTGCATAGTGTTCTATTTGTCATCATCAATATTTGTACAGGTAAAAATGAATAAGAATAAATCAATAATGTAGTTGATCAATGAACTTAAATTAATTTTTAAGTACCCTCTTAAACAAGAGGGTCTGTATCGCTCACCTGGATATTTAAGAATTCTTGGCAAAATTTTCTAAATAAAGTAATATGGTAAATAAAACTCAAGGCCCTGGCTCGGCAATTGTATATATCTGTTTATTGGGATTCAGTGCCCACATTTATTCAACCATACTGCCATTTTTACCAACGAGAATTATAAATACAGTATAACCTGTCTAAACCGGCCCCTGTCTAATCTGGATCCCTGTCTAAACTGGCTGTGATTTGTGGTCCCAGTATATTCACTATAAAATCATATTGTAGTTAAACCCTGTATAAACCGGACCCTGTCCTTTCCGAAAACCAATGTTGTTTCACAAAAATTGGTATAGTAATCCATGTAAAAACAACCTGTTTATTCCAGTCCTGAAATTTCTCTTGCCCGACTACAATCTAAAGCAAACACATTATAAACAAATCAGCGCTATCCAATGTTGGGTCGCCCTTCATTTGTATTATATACTGTATATTTTGTAAATAATTTAACGTTGCAATTTATTCATTTCTCTGTTGTTTATGTTGAGACACTTGTATACAGATTGTTTGCAAAACACTACATTTTTGTATTTTCAAAAAATGACAAGCCGACCTTGTATAAACAGGACACCTGTGTAAATCGGACAAATAGTTTGGCAAACCTACATAAATAATAATAATAATTAATAATTATTCGAGGTTCTTGTTTACCACTTATCACAACCTAGTTTGTAGGTCGTCTCAATGCGGTTCACAAATTTTTATCCTTGGTTATAGGGCCTTTGCAACCAGCCAATATCTTTCTTAACTCCCTGGGGAGCATACAGCCAGTGCTGCCATTTCGGCACTCACAGCTAGCATTCTACATTTCTAGCACTGCCCAACCACGTACTCATTTATAGCTGAGTAGACTGGAACAAGCGGAGTAAAGTATTGTGTTCAAAGATACAATACATGTACAGAGCCGTACCGTGACTCGAACCTGCAACCCTTCGGTCAGGGGCCCTGCGTCCTACCACTGGACTACTGTGCCTCCTTCAATGCAGGTGACTTGGCAGGTATATATCTATAAGTTACTGGATAAAACAACTTTAGACCACCTATTCCCTCAGGATGAATGAGTGTTGTTAGCTGGCAGTTTCATGAATTGTTGAGGGCCAACATCTCACGAAACTTCGCTGGATATTTCCCCACACTGCTTACAGTACATGGTATTCTAAGTATATCTACAGTTTACATATTTTCGGCTGCATTCAAACCTGTAATACTTGAACAATTTGTCCACTTTTTTCGTAGGACTTCCCAGGATTCATCCTTGGGGAAAACGCTTACATTCTTTTGCGAAAAAAAATTGCTGTTCTTTTTTAATATTTTAATGTATATTCATTATATTTTGTAATACATGCATAGTAAGTCTTTGCCTCTTGTATAACTTGAAAAAGGAGTGGGTTAATTCGAAATTTTGACTTCATTTTGTCCCCACTGTTGACATCATTTAGTAACTTATTATATATATATATATATACACTAGAACACTAAATGATATTTTTTGGAGCAAACAGCTCCTATTTTAGAGATTTAGGTTGGTTTGTTTGTGTTTTACATCCTATTAACAGCTATGAAAATTTAAGAACGTGCCATGTTTTGGTGGTGGAGGAAAGCTGGACTTCCCGGAGAAAAACAAACAACCTACGGCCGGTACCTGGTGACTGCCCCATGTAGGCCTCGAACCCCTGACCACTATAGTGGTAGCAGAATGTCGAACACCTTAAACACTTGGCCACCGTGGCCCCTTCACACATAAGAGACAGACAATGACTTTAACAATACATAACATAAATATAGGATCTTACATGAGCTTCCATTTCATATGAGATTTATGAAGCGAGTCTTAGAATTCAGAGGATCGCTAAATTGAAAAATTTGTGACAAGTTTCATAAATTTCATATGAAATGAAAACGAGTGTAATTAAGATGCACCCTTGAAATGTAACAAGCCGTAATTTTGACTCCAGTGCATAAGTCTGTGACGTCATGTACTTGTCCTAGGCGTGACGTCACAATTGAAACAACTGAAACTTACAACCAATCACAGGGCTGATACATTGTAGGTCATATTACATGGGTTAATATGCAAACAAATATGACATGGGTATATACACTGGATAACACAGTACATTATGTGATAAAACAATATACAAGAGGCGCAGAGGGCCTGTATCGCTCACCTGGATATCTAAACAATCATGGCAAAATATTCTCCAAATAAGATCAAAGGGAATGGGCCAGACCCCTAGGCCAATCCATGTAGTATTTCTGTATCAGATTGTTCATGCCCAGCAATTTTATGTATGTTTATGCAGTCGGGATCTCAACTGTTTCCAAGCTGTGACTCAGAAACTAGGTCCCTAGGGGTTTGGCCAGACCCCAGGGTATATTCTAATATAATGACTGCGCTCGCCTCTTTATGCCCAGCAGTTGGATATTAGTTTTGGGGTGGGGATCTGAACCATTTCAAAGTTATGACCCTGCATGGGGTTAAGTCTGCAAGGGTGGGGCAGACCCTGGGGTCAATCCCTAATATCATGACTGCATTTGTCTCTTTATGCCCAACAATTGTATATATAGTTTTGGGGTGGGGATCTCAACTGTTTCTAAGTTATGACCCAGGGATTAAGTCTCCAAGGGTGGGGCGAACCCTGGAACCATCCTGGTAGCATGTGTGCATTCATCACTTTATACTCAGCAATTGTGTATATGGTTATTGGGTGGAAAACTCAACTGTTTCCAAGCTGTGACTCAGAAACTAGGTCACCAGGGGTTTGGTCAGACCCAAGGGTCTATTCTTATATCATGACTGCGTTCGTCTCTTTACGCCAAGCATTTGTATATATAGTTTTGGGGTGGGGATCTCAACTGTTTCAAAGTTATGACCCATGGACTATGTTTCCAAGGGTGGGCCCAGGAATCAGGGCCATATCCTGGAAGCATATGTGGATTCTTCTCTTTATGCCAAACAATTGTATATATGGTTATATATAATTAATTGGGATCTCAACCATTTCCAAGTATTAAACTATTTTTGGCCCCACCCCTTAGCCCGGGGGTCAGCCCCACCTTTTGTACAATTTTGAATCCCTCCCTCCCATGAATGCTTCCAACAAATATGATTGATATCCATCTCTTAGTTCCAGCGAAGAAGTTGCTTAAAGCAATATACCAAATAACCCTTCCCCCCCCCCCCCCAATCAGCCCTGGGGGGTCAGCCCCACCAATCGTACAGTTTTGAATCCCCACTACTTAGGGATGCTTCCAGTCAAATATATGGTTGGTATCCATCTCTTAGTTCCATAGAAGAAGTCATTTAAAGCAACAAAGCCAAATTGCCCTCTTTTTCCCTGCATCTGAGCCCGGGGTGTCAGCCTCACCATTTGTACAATTTTGAATCCCCACCACCTAGGGATGCTTCCAGTCAAATTTAGTTAAATTCTAATCAGTGGTTAAGAAGAAGAAGTCATTTGAAGAAATTGTTGACGACGGACAACGGACGCCACAGTATGGCATAAGCTCACCTTGGTCCTTCAGACCCGGTGAGCTAATAAATATATATATAATATTAATTACTTTTCTGCCTTCTTTCAGGTAAAGCTTGTGTAAAGTAGGCAGAACATATTTGTGATCCTTGACTTGTGTTTTTTGTTATAATTATAACCATCACAAGGACATTACATTTTTGACCTTAAGTTTCAATTATGCCATACTGTAAATATACACACACAAAACCTTAAGAATAAATATGGAGCAAATAATGATAGATATTAATTCTATACCAATTCTGATTTTTCCAATTTATGTGCATAAACGATGACACCAAACAAAGTAAGATAAAAATCACAAAATTCCAACTTGCCTCCTAACTTTAACTCTCCTGCTTTTGTTTGCCTGTAGTTGTACACCTTGTTGGCATATTCAACTTCCTCCTTGCGAAAACCAATCTTTTCTAGCAGATTCTGTTTTTTTGCTTGATCTTCTTCACATCTCTCCACTAAGGAAAGTATCATGCGATCTGTTTGAAAAAAATATTTGACATTTTTGTTTAGAAGTTTGATAACAGCCTGTATTAAAATTCAATATTGGCTGCCCACAAACAGACTTTAAAAGCATTATACCTTAGGTGTATGACTGTCTGAAATATAGATTTAAAAATTCTAGGGGTTGTTCATTTCCATGGATATGGCCTGATTGAAGACTTTTTTTTTATTTCTATATATAAAATGCCCTAAATATTGCAAAATGATAAAATGTACATGATATAACTAATAACTAACTTAATAACAATCACTCACACAAAGCAATATCATATATTTTCTGCCTCTGTATTAGATATCTAATTTGATTTCAATCAACTGATAATCCACGACAGATATATTTGAAAATTGAAAAGCATCTCTTCTAGTACACAGCAAGCACACAATATAAATACAAGTGGCCCAGAGGGCCTGTATCGCTCCCCTGGATATCTAAGCAATCATGGCAAAATATTCTCCAAATGAGATCCAAGGGAATATGCCAGACCCAAAGGCCATTCCAGGATCAATTCTAATTAGTAATATCATGACTACATTCGTCTCTTTTTGCCCCGGCATTTGTTTTTTTTTTTATAGTTTTGGGGTGGGGATGTCAACCGTTTCGAAGCTATGACCCAGGTGTTAAGTCTCCAAGGGTGGGGCAAACCCCAAGGCCATCCTGGAAGCATATGTGCATTCATTTCTTTATACTTAGCAATTGTATATATGGTTATAGGGTGGGGATCTCAACTGTTTCCAAGCTGAGACTAAGAAACTAGGTCCCTAGGGGTTGAATCAGACCCCAGGGTCTATTCTATTATCATGACTGCATTCGTCTCTTTATGCCCAGCATTTGTATATATAGTTTAGGGGAGGGGATCTCAACCATTTCAAAGTTATGACCCAGGGACTATATATGTCTCCAAGGGTGGGGCCAGACCCTAGGACCATCCTGGAAGCAACTGTGCATTCTTCTCTTCATACTCAGCAGTTGTATATATGGTTATACGGTGGGGATCTAAACCATTTCAAAGTGAAAAACTTATTTTTGCCCCACCCCTTAGCCCAGGGGGTCAGCCCCAAACTTTGTACAGTTTTGAATCTCCGCCACCTAGGGATGCTTCCAGTCAAATATGGTTGACGGACGACGGACGCCACGGTATGGCATAAGCTCACTTGGTCCTTTGGAACCGGTGAGCTAATAATGTGGTCATTTAAACTTCTTCTAAATTGTGATCCAAGGAATAAACCAACAGGGCAATCAGCATGAGTGTTTCAATGTCTCTTCTTGCCCTGTAATAGTATATATGTAATAAAAAATAGGGAATCTTAACTATTTCCATGTTTTGACCATAGGGACTATGTCCCCATTGGCAGGGCCAGAACCTGGGGCCAATTTTATTGGCATGAATGTGTTATCTTCTCATGCACAAAAATTGTACTATATCAAAGAAGTCCCTAAGACACAACATGGAAATTATTCAGATCTCCACTTGGTCGGAGTGGGGATCTGAATAATTTCTATGTTACATCTTAGGGACTATATAAGTACCAAAGAGTGGGGATGGATCCTTACACCAATAGCTGAGGCTAATTTCAATATAGATTTCAAGTACACCATGTCTAAATGCAATGATAGAATATTGAAGTAAAACCATTGAAGGCAGTACTTATGTAGTTATAGTTTGAAGTTCTATGATACATCGCTTTGATCAGTACTTACCTATCATCTGTCCAATTACATGATATGCCGTAAAGACATAACGCTTTTCTGGAGTTTCCTTTTTCCCTACACAAAATCCTGTTCCATGCTCAATATAATGAGGATTCTCAACTCGAATTTTGCCAACAGAGTGAACCACACTCTTGATACTCTGGTAAGCAAGTATACCAGGAGGACCATCTTGTCTCGCTGAAAATGACATACTGTAGAATCATTTATTTTCGTGTGGTTAAAATTTTGTGGTTTTCATATACCGGTACTAACCTGTTTCAAGGACATAATATTTTGCTGACTTCTGATTTTCCCCTATCTATATCATACCAAACTTAATTTTGTGGATTTTCGTTATCCACAAAATAAACGAAATTTAATGTCCCACAAAAACGTATGATTTTACAGTATCAAGCAAATGAAGCTTGAAAGATACACATAACTGCACTGAAAATAGTCAATACTTGTTGAATCTTGATTCAAATTCTTTGTTCAAAGTATGAATTTTTGGTTAGTACTGTAACATTATCATACAAGCGACACACCAGTACTTCGGCCTAAGCGACCTAAATAATAGCCTCTTTCTGAATACACAGCACACATGATGGTTTGTTATCTGTGAGCACTGATGTAACAAATACCAAGAGCTGGTGGAGATAAGCAAAACTTCTCTCTTTTTGACCTTGATATGCCTTGACATTTCGGACAGAATTACCTCGAACAAAAAGCATATCTCTTACCTAGTACTGAACCCGACATGAAGAATGGTGGAGATGAGTTGAGGACTAGTGAAGTTATAGAGCAGAATTAACCAGCCAAAATATTCAACCAAGAGACAAGAGAAAGAAAAGCTATCTTCTTCTTACAAATTACTTTTGATGATGCTTGGTGAAGTTGAGTTAAAAAGTTACATGATGTATGGCACAAAGAAACAAATGTAGACAGACTCACAGACAGACAGACATGATGAAGCCATAATGCCCTGCAGAAGGCAGATGTATCAGAATTTGTGTTTTTGATATTTATAACAGCATTCATTACCCTTTACAGATTTCTGTTGGAGTTTTTGTTCATAAGAAAGATAAAATGATGTGAAAATACCGCTGAAATGCCTTCTAGGAAAAAGTGAATATCAAAATTCAAATCAAACTTGACATGTTTCAGAAAAATTGAACCTTAGCCATCTTATAAAGAGTGCCAAAAATACTGCACCAACCAAATAGTAAGATTGTGAATAAAGAAAAAACAATGGTAAATACATTGCACAGTAAAATAACACTGGCAAATAAAGCAAAATAACAATGTCCAATACAGCAAAATAACAACGGTAAATACAGCAAAATAACAAACACAAATATAGCGAAATAACACTGGCAACTAAAGCAAAATAACACTGGCAAATATAACGAAATAACACTGGCAAATAAAGCAAAATAACATTGGCAAATTAAGCAAAATAACAATGGCAAATATAACAAAAAACACAATGGCAAATAAAGCAAAATTATCACTGGTTTACCATCGTATGTGAAATCCTTTAAAATAAAATCTTATATATTAGTAGCCAAAAAAAGAAGACGTACCTGTTCCACAATCAGAAGGCAAGCCCTCTGAAATTGACCACAAATAATTTACTTTAGGTAGTTTAGAAGTAATCAAACATGACACACTATAAATAAACATGTTTATTAAACGTTATTTTTCTCGCAACTTTCTGTTATTGGGACAGGACAAAAAGATTAAATGTTTTTACTGCATTTTGAAATAATTAGCACCAGGGCACTTTAAAAACGATTGCTGTAATAGGTTCATAAAAAGCAAGTTATGAAAGAAAAAAGTTATACAACTTCAACCATTTTAGACAATCTGGTGTGGCTGGAGATTTGGAAATCAAATGTTTCATCCACTTAGAGTGTAAGTATTTTAACTTATTGATCAGGCCTGATCAGGTCTGGGAGGGGAAGTGGGGGTAGGAAGAGTCTTCATAATTTCAGTTCCTCCCCAAAAGAGGGAGGGGCACCTATAGGGGGAGGGGCGCTAATTATGGCAAAATCCATATAAGCCCAGTGTTTTTCGCTTTTCACATTTGATGTTAATGATTATGTACATTATGTTAAAATATGTAAATTCACCCTCATTACAGCTGTACTAAGCGCAAAAAGTTAACTGTAACGAATATTTCCTGATATATGGAACTTTACAGTAGGTGATCTAAATATGGTGTCTGAAGTTGAGCTACACCAATAATCTGTGACAATCAAATTTGATGGCATTTTAACATAAAGAACATTAGCATGAATTACAAGAAAAAAGCAAATTACCTAGTATAAACAGTTAAAGTTACCTAGTATAAACAGTTAAAGTTACCTAGTATAAACAGTTCAAATTACCTAGTATAAACAGTTAAAATTACCTAGTATAAACAGTTCAAATTACCTAGTATAAACAGTTAAAGTTACCTAGTATAAACAGTTCAAATTACCTAGTGTAAACAGTTCAAATTTCCTAGTAAAAACAGTTCAAATTACCAAGTATAAACAGTTAAAATTACCTAGTATGAACAGTTAAAATTACCTAATATAAACAGTTAAAATTACCTAGTATAAACAGTTCAAATTACTCAGTATAAACAGTTCAAATTACCTAGTATTAACAGTTAAAATTACCTAGTATAAACAGTTAATATTACCTAGTATAAACAGTTCAAATTACCTAGTATAAACAGTTCAAATTACCTAGTATAAACAATTCAAAGAACCTAGTAAAAACAGTTAAAATCTTCAAAAAAAAATATATATATATGAAGAATGTGTTATACCAGAGTTGATGTCTTATTCAATTACACATACATGTACCTGGATTATCAATGCCTTTCTGTAATTTTTCCATTCCCTTTTCCCATTTTTCTGTTTCCTTTAACCCACGTTTGTCTGCAGACATCACTAGTATGACCTTTGGATGGTAGTCTAGGAACTGGTTGATTGCATTGCTCCATTCAATCACCACTGGGATCCATCCTTCCTGCCCTCTGTCTCTCACGATAGGCATAACCAAATCAAGGTCTCCACGATTTTCCATATACAGATCTGAAAATAATGTTATTATTTTGTCGGACATTTTCTCATTCACAGCTTTCTTTTTGGCATCATTTGCAGACAGAAACTTCCTCCTGTGGGTAACTAAGTAGTCTCTTTCTGTTAACCATTTCATGATTTCTTCCGCTAATTTTTCATTAGATTTATGGTATGACAAGAAGACGTGGAATCGGGTGACTATGGCCCGCTGTAGATCGTCCAACCAGGAGGATTCTAGTCCCCTAAAGGCATCAATATCAGCTGAGTAATCACTGTGCACACGCAGCAAAATCTTCTGTCTGTCCCCATCTTGCGGGATCTGTATGAGTTTCTGCAGTTCTTTTGTTTTGGTTTTCTGTCTTGTTTCCGTAAATGTGATGTAGCGGGACTCACAACATCTACAATCTTTGTACCCATCTGTTAAAACCTCTATCCAAGCGTCTGATTCCTTCAAACTTTTAGGAAAGTCATCTATGGTTTCGCTACCACAACTTACATCTTCTATTTCGAAATTGAGTTTTTTCAATTCCTTTACAATATGTTTTTTCACTGTTTCCTTGTCCGTCTTGTGGTACGAAATGCATGCGTGATATTTCTCCTTGGCTTTGATTGGTTTAAAAATTGCTCTAGAAGTAGCTGCAGCCATTCTGCAAAAGAAAGAAAATTACCAGGTTGTTTGTTTTTCAAATATGTCTGAGGCAATTTTTGTGTCACTAAACCACACTATAGGGTCTTAAAATAATACATATACATTTCCTTTATGCCAGGTCAGACAGTCATTGTTAAGAAGATAAAAAAGATTGATTTGTCTGTGTTTTCAAATTTTTTTGTTTATGTGTGAAAAAATATAAACGATCAGGACAAAATGAAGTGGTGTGGAACCCTCAGGAAGTCCAAACTGTCTTAAAAGAAAAAACATTAGTTGTAATATATTGAAGTCCATATTTATTATTAAAAAGGGCAGAGCAATAATTAATTTGACATTTTACCTTTTAACCACCAAATGTATAGGGTCCTTGGAATTTGTCTTGAAGAAAATGTGTATTTGATTCGATTCTAAAAGGAAGGGGGATATATAATGGGTTTTAATTTTGCTCCATTTGTGTTGATATTTATATCATATTTACAAAATCTAAAGGTTTTCATTTCAGCAATGTGTTTCAGGACTCACACAACTAAATCAGCCAATCAGCAAGTGTTTCATACGTCTGTAGTTCCTATCTGAAATAAGTTCCGGCTAATTACTGAGCCACTGAAGGAGTTTAATAAGGAACTGATGACAGATTTTTAGATAAGTGAAATGTTCAGTTTTTAACTTTTGAAAAATATATACTTTTGATATATTTCCATGTCTGTGTGTGGATTTGCACAGGGGCAAAATGTCTGGGGCATTTCTGTTTTGGGTCACCAGTTTTGCTTGTAAACTTCTTCATCTTTTTTCCTTCCTCCGTCGATAGCGAGGATTACGGAAGTCGGTCTTGTGCTGTAGTGCGTTAATCATTATGTACAGCGATTTTATTTTTTTAGATTTTTGTTATTTGCTATAGGATAAAAAAAGGTTAAAAGCAGTGAGTGAGTGTTAGCTATGTTGTAGGTTTTGTATATGTTCGATTGTTATATGTGGTACATGTTCTGAATTCTGCTAGTGTTTCTGATTGTATTATTGTTTTGGGTAGGAGGTTCCACTGTGTTATCCATGGTGTATGGAAAGAATGAGTGTCTGTATGTGTCTTTAGATGTGTAGATATGTCTGTAACTAGGGTCGTGTCCTTGACGTGTTCTGGTGTCTGCCGGGATGAGATTGTTAGTGTGTATTGCTACTTGTTGGTGTATTATTTTGTAAAGAAGAATAATGCGTGTTCTTGTTCTGCGTGTGTGTAGTGTTGGCCATTACAAGTTGTGTATCATATCTGTGACTGAGCTTGTGTTATGGTATTTGTTTAGGACATATCATGCTGCTCTTCATTGTACTTTTTTTAATTGATTTAGAATGTTATTTGTATAATGTGGGCACTCCCAAACTGAAGAGCAGTATTCAAGTTTTGGTCTTACAATGGCCTTGTATGCATGTTCTTTTATGTGTGGTGAATTTATTTTTAGGATGCGTTTAAGAAAGCCTTGTGATTTATTTGCATTTGATGTGATGTTGTTAATGTGTTTGTTCCATTTTAAGTTGTTTTGTAGTGTGATGCCTAGATATTTGTTTGAAGTTACAGATTCTAGTGTGTGGTCGTGGAGAGTGTATTGGTGTTTTAATTTGTGTGCGTTTTGGTGATAAAGTGAGTATGGTGCATTTGTCTGGGTGGAATTTCATTAGCCAGTCGATCCTCTCCCCATTTACTAGCTGCATCTAAATCTGCTTGTAGTTTTGTCGTGTCATCTTTGTTGTTGATTGTTTTGTATAGTATGCTGTTGTCTGCAAAAAGTCTTAGTGTACTGTGCGATATGTATTCGGGGAAGTCGTTGATGTATATGAGGAAGAGGACTGGGACCATACAGGTTCCTTGAGGCACTATGAGGAAGAGGACTGGGACCAAACAGGTTCCTTGAGGCACTCCAGATGTTACTGGGATTTTGTCAGAGTGTTTGCCCTCAAGTACTACTGGCGCTATGAAAATCCAACATGCCACTTAACCTACCAAAGAAGTCATTTGGTAGCCTTTGCAAGGTATGTTTTTATGAATCTAGACAGTTGTCACTGGTTTTGAACTTCAAATATTAAAGTTATAAGCTAAAATGTTTGGTAATAACATATATTAAATGATTTAGTTGTGCGACTTCTTCAAGCTAAAAAGAAAACTTTCAGATACTTTTTTAACAATCTTCAATGAGAGAAAGAAATTCAACAACCTTTTTATCATATAATATGAAAACTTGATGTGAATTTGATTACTTGTGAATACAAATAAACGTGAACTTAAATATCTCAATATCATTTATCCAAAATTGTAGAATCCACTTAGAACTACCAAACTGCATATTTATCGTCTCGTAATCAAACTGGAGTTAGTACCTAATAGATTATATTACAAAAAGTTGTAACTGATCCCTTTGCATGCATTCAGTAATTTTGTTAATCATGAGTGTTATTTTTGTAACACTGGCCATTGACTGGTGCATATAAGAAATATGTTAATTAAAATATTTATATCTGACTACAATGTACCTTTACAGTTTTTCATAAATGCACGGCTTCTCCCAAAGTGAAGATTATCCAACTTTCTGTTCTAAAGCGAAAGTAAAATATCTATTACTAAGAGGCGCTCAATTGCCTGCAATCAAAACGCCCATTTACAAACATTTCACTGACTAATTAGTTCTATTTTAAGATGTACACGTGGAGGAAGTGTGTACTTGCGCATGCGTGAAAACAATGTAAACAGGAACTAAAATGGCAGCTCACAGAGCGAGGTTTGTTTTGCTCATCCGCCCACCTTCCGAAAACGTTTTTCAACCAATCTACAGGATAATTACGTGATTTTGTTCAGATATTTCAGAAATTTAATTTGCTTATAACGATTATTGCCTTTTTATTGCAGGCTCCAAGAATTTGAGGACACCTTGACATCCGATTCCATTGATAGTAAACGACTTAGAAGACTTTGTTTCAACGGTAAGCTAACTTTTGTAAAAAATATCTTTTCGACAGCCCTGATAATGTATCTAGATGACTGATAGGAATGACAGTTAAGACTGAAGTAACATTCAGCAATTTACTACAGCAGAAAAACAGATTACAACGTAAAACATGTGACGCTTATGGCAAAATAAAGTGAAATCCTAAGATGAATAACATAGCTTAATCATTCCTAAAAATAAGTTTCATTCCTTAGAGGGAAATGGAAAGTGTCAAGAGGGGCCACATGATTGTGACACACATCCAGCTGCAGCACCAAAGTCAACTCTAACATTTTGATAACATGTTTTCCTATGTTATTATTGTAAGATAATGCACTGATCATTAGAGCTCAGAGAAACCATCACCAAATCTCCAAAGATAAATTGACAGCAAAAATGCTAAGCCTTTTCACAAGTTCCACCTACAGGGCATGTTCCCTACAAATTACAACTCATATGACTTTATTCTGGGACATGTCATATAGACACCTCCTCTTATTTCACTTAGTACTGAATATATCAAAATTAGGCATTAGATATAGGTGGTAGGTAAATCTTGTATCCTGGACCCGGACTGAAACCCTGTACCGGGAATATAAAGATATTTTAATATCTCATTAACGCGACCGTTTATAATTTTTATAAAATATAGAATAATTTCAAACATTATTTTCTAAATGTGACAATTACAAAAATGTTTATTTATTATCTAATAATTTAGAAATCGACGATAATGTGTATTTCAAGGGGGTAAAACTTGTATACCGCAGTCAACCGTGAAAATCACAGGTTTTCACAAATAACTAGAAATTCAGGGAAAATTAACATGTTATTTTCAGATATATAGAAGAAAACACCTTACTGTTTATAATTATGTAAGGTTCGTTGAAATCACAGGTTTTCACAAATAACTAGAAATTCAGGGAAAATTAACATGTTATTTTCAGATATATAAAAGAAAACACCTTACTGTTTATAATTATGTAAGTTTCGTTGAAATAAACGACATATTTGACATGAAATTCTGACTTTGTTGTGATCGCGGGTGTTTTGTTTACTCCCGTACCCGTACTAAGGAGACATCACTCTGTCAAGCTGTCGTAATCAAGTAGAACTCTTAGCCATTCTATTAGAATGTTACCAGGCTCTGCGACGCAGGTTCATGAGTTTTTTTGGCGATCTGTTAAATCTCTCATTCCAAATTTATCAAAAGGTAATCAAATAATAGTGTTGGATAGGGAATCGGCGATAAAAAAATTCTTGGAGGATTATTTTTCCAAATGTGAAAGTTCTTTTTTGTTGGAATCATATTCGAAGAGATAGCAGATTTTGGTTGAACCAGCATAGGGGTAGTAGTGATATTTCAATATACATGGAGGATGTTATACACTATTAAGATGCGAGAGTGAAGAAGAGTTTTTGGCAATGTTAGATACGGTATCTGAGAAATGGAGTGAACCTTTTGTAGATTATTTCAATTCCCATATCAAGGGAGACATTATATAAATATGACATTTATTAGCAGGTGACAGTGAATATTGTCAACCCGAGAAAATCATTGTCACCCGAGGCGAAGCCGAGGGTGACAATGGGTTTTTGAGGGTTGACAATATTCACTGTCACCTGCTAATGAATGTCATATCTATTTTGTTACACCAAAAGTCTTTGTAGCTCAGAAACGGCAGCAAACCTCGATAATGACATCCTGTTTGTTGATAGTCTGCTGTTTACAATCGCTATCGCACCGGCGCTTGATGAAATTGGCTGTTGCCGTCAAACGTTCTTGTGACCATCACGGTGGGGAAACGAAGCGGTGCACGCACATTTTTTGCGCATGTGATATTTTTCACTGTCTCATGGCAATATCACCCGCGCCCCTTAAAACCAATGTATTTTCGGAGGGTGACAGAGATTTTTGTTTAATTTTCTCCCAACCAATCAAAAAGCTAGAAATTCACTTGAGGTGTAACAATATAAAATATGCTGGTTGGTGGCTACTGTCTGGTCTTGGTGTGGGGAACAAGTATACAGGTATTACAAATAATATTTTTGAAGGTACAACTGGAAAGAAGTTCCATTAGATATTGCAGTTCTTTCATTTTATTATCTCCAGAGATATTATGGCAATGAGATTAAGAGAGGGTTAATTGGAACAGGAACTGATAGACTTAAGGCTATTCATAAAAGTGCTCAGCTAGACCCTGATGGTGTACAGTTTTCAAATGACGTTTGTCATCCTAATGATGTATTAGATTTAGTTAAGGGTAAGAATAATGACAAAGACACAGTAACTTCCTGGGAACATATAGGTCTAAACGAAGAGGTAAGCCATGAAGATGTAGCTAGTTTAGCAAATGGTATAGCGTCCGAGAGTCAACAAGTAAGTAAACAAACTTCACAAAGGTCTTTAGCAGTTGCCGCTCTTAGGGATAACAAGGTAACCCATGTTCCATCTGCCAGGACATTTATAGTTGAAGGGTCACAGGGAGATAAGTACGCAGTTCGGTTACATCCTAAAGAGCAATGTCAGTGTCCATCGATTGGTACATGCTATCATATTATTGCTGCAAAGTTAAGTACAGGCATAGATGACACAGCAGGTAAGAGGAAACTCCATATGGCTCAACTTAGGCGTAATGCAAGAAAGCGACCAGACAAGAAAGCAGGTAGGAAACGACCGAGACCATGTGATGGAGAGGAGACTGATATAGTCCCAGCACCAGACAGTAAGTTAACTAAGTTAGGTGAATCAAATATAATGTGTTCAACTCCAAGTGCTACATTGGCTTCTCCAGTTAAATTAGAGTCAGTTCCTCTCCATGATATTGGTACTCCGAAAAAAATTTAGGTCTAGACTTTCTTTAACTCGTAAGAGATTGTCAAATATAATAGAAGGAAAAGAAGATACAAAAGATGTAAGTATTATAGCTGAGTCAGTAGCAGACATACAATGTAGTGATGGTGTAAGTTTATCTGAACCAGTTGTAAGTACCAGTCCTAAGGTAAAACAAAGAAGAAGACTTTCATTACCAAAAAAAGAACAAACCGAATGTAAATGATATGTTAGTGGATCTTTCAGATGACAGACCGTCGCTTATTAAGCCTGCAGAAACAAGACGTATCTGGATGGATAATGGTAAAAGTACGCTAAGTTTTAAGGCTATAAATGATTTATCAATTGATAACAAACTATTTGGTAATATCATGTGTTACGTACAAAATAATTTAAAGAAACAGTTTCCTAATATAGGCGGAATGCAAGATACAGGTTATGCTCCAATTTTGAAAAACAATAAGTGGGACTATGCACTCAGAATGAAACCAACTAGCGCTGCATCAGCACAAATTCATCATACAGGTGAGGACCATTGGGTAGTGTCAGTACAGGAGGTAGATAGTGGGGAAGTATACATTCTTGATAGTTTGATAGGAAATACGAAAAATAAGGGTCATTTGTCAGCTTCTTTAGAAATGCAGTTGTCATCATCATATGGGGAAAATAGAAAAGTTTTAAAAGCAGTATTACCAATTGTGCAACAACAGAAAAACGGGGTTGATTGTGGGGTTTTTGCTATTGCTAACTAGGTCGAATTTTGTTTCAATGGGTTTAACGGGAGTGAAGAGTTAGAATTTGACACCACTTGCATGAGACAACATCTTGGAGAATGTAATTCCAATGGAATCTTTACTAAATTTCCTAGGAAAAAAATGAGTTGGCATAGGCAAAAGAAGACTTTCTAGAATTTTTTCTAATGATAACCAATCATAATGATGATCATGAATTCTTATTTTGTGAACTATTAGTTATCTTATATTTGTATAGTTTAAAAAATATGGGCTCTTATGTAGAACTGCATTCGCGTCACAGAGCCTAGTAACATTCTAATAGAATGGCTAAGAGTTCTACTTGATAACGACAGCTTGACAGAGTGATGTCCCCTTAGTACTGGTACGGGAGTAAACAAAACACCCGCGATCACAACAAAATCAGAATTTCATGTGAAATATGTCGTTTATTTAAACGAAACTTACATAATTATAAACAGTAAGGTATTTCTACTATATATCTGAAAATAACATGTTAATTTTCCCTGAATTTCTAGTTATTTGTGAAAACCCGTGATTTTCACGGTTGACTGCGGCATACAAGTTTTACTCCCTTGAAATACACATTATCGCTGATTTCTAAATTGTTAGATGATAAATAAACATTTTTGTAATTGTCACATTTAGAAAATAATGTTTGAAATTATTCTATATTTTTATAAAAAATATAAACGATCGCGTTAATGAGATATTAAAATATCTTTATATTCCCGGTTCGGGGTTTCAGTCCGGGTCCTGGAACGGGGTACAAGATTTACCTACCACCTTAGATATAAAAGAAATAGTATTATACCTTTTTTTACAGGTGTTTAAGTGCAATGATATGATTTGCATTACAATGATGTTAATGAAGTGTTTCATTCGAAAAAACTAACTACATTGACAACGTCTAAGGTTGTATGCATAGAAACTGCATGGACCTTTGACATCAAATTTAAAGGTTTTACAACTTATTAACATTTATGATTTTAAGCAACTATAATAGCACTATATAATGTACCACATGTCTTTGAGAATATGCCTTAACAGATATGTTGAGCATATGCGGCTTGAACAGAACTGTGGTGTGTACCATCAGAAATGCTTTATTGAAACTGTATTTTTTCTCAATCAACTTTGAAAACAAAAAAAATAAATCTATTTTATTTTTTGAGTGTGTGTTTTAATGCGTCAGTTGTAAGCTCATCTGATCTTGTCCAAAGGACTGAGGGAGCTGATGCCATGTTGCATCATCCATTGTCAATTTGTTTACTTTCATACACTTCATATTCATAATAAACTGGAGGCACATATATGTGTTGATGATATTTGGCCAATTAAAGGGCTTTCCAATTTGCTCAAATAACTGACCTTGACCAAATTTCAAGGTCAAAGGGGTCAAATGTCTTAAAATCTTTAAATTAGTTCTTGAAATAACCCAGCTCAAGGGTGGAGATATAGTTACATTTGGCCAGTAGAGCTTCTGGCTGTATGGAGTTTTGTGAGGTGTATGATCTAAGTGAAGGACCTATACCTTTTTTCTGGCTGTATGGAGTTTTGTGAGGTGTATGATCTAAGTGAAGGACCTATACCTACTTCTGGCTGTATGGAGTTTTGTGAGGTGTATGATCTAAGTGAAGGACCTTTACCTACTTCTGGCTGTATGGAGTTTTGTGAGGTGTATGATCTAAGTGAAGGACCTTTACCTACTTCTGGCTGTATGGAGTTTTGTGAGGTGTATGATCTAAATGAAAGACCTTTACCTACTTCTGGCTGTATGGAGTTTTGTGAGGTGTATGATCTTAGTGAAGGACCTTTACCTACTTCTGGCTGTATGGAGCTTTGTGAGGTGTATGATCTAAGTGAAGGCCCTTTACCTACTTCTGGCTGTATGGAGTTTTGTGAGGTGTATGATCTAAGTGAAGGACCTATTCCGTCTTTGAAGGACAGGTTATTAAAATAAAGTTTTATAATCGGCATTAAAATAACAATAATAATAAACTTTATTTATTGAGGATAAAATACATGCTTAGCCAAAGGCTAATCTTCCACATGGTTCTCTTGTTAGTAAAATACACATGTTAGATAAAATTACATATTTAAGCAATCGATATATAAATAAACATGATTATCTTGCTAGAAAAAATACAAGTGGTAGTTAAAAAATACATATATATTGATGCAATCGACATATATTAGGTTATATCACAGTTATCTTAGTTAAGAATATCACAGAATGCATAAAGTTTCATGCAAAGGTATTTCATCAATTAAATGGCATGTGGTTAATTAATATACATACATGCTAATATAGCAAACAATAAAAATTGACATAGTTATATGCTAATAAAGCATAATCTAAAATATTGATAAAATTCACAAAAGAAGTCTATAAAGAAAGTTACAAGTTTTGGTTACATGGAGAAACAAATTAAAATCTAAGACATCGATAGAAAGTGGTGAAATTGTCTATTTTCTTTATGTCACTGGGTAAAACATTCCAGTCGTTAATACTGTCAATAAGAAAAATCCTGGAATAAAAAACAGTTTTATGTTTTGGCACTTTGAAATTATTTTCAATAGCATATCTTGTGTTCCTACAGTGACCATCTCGCACAAGAGACACATTATTTGATAAATTTTCAGGCACACTCTTATGATGACATTTATATAGCATGCACAACCTTCTGTATTTATAGTATTTGTCAATTGGCATCCATCTAAGGAGTTCATACATTTGCCTAGAAGGTGTGTCAAATGGTACATCTAAAATTAGTCTAGCTGCTTGCTTCTGAGTCTTATTAGCAGCTTGCCCATTAAATTTGCGGTGCACCCTGACCATACCGTACTACAATTCATAAAATGTGGCAAAACACAAGAATTAGAAAAAAATCATAATGACTGCAGGACTAAGCCGTCAATGAAGACCAATGATATATAGAATATTGACAATTAGCTAGAATATTGACAATTAGCTAGAATATTGACAATTAGCGTATTTCAATAGATTTTACCATGTGACCCACTAGTACTTACGGTCACAATGAAGACCAATGATATATAGAATATTAACAATTAGCCTATTTCAATAGATTTTACCCTGTGACCCACACTAGTACTTACGGTCACAATGAAGACCAATGATATATCGAATATTGACAATTAGCCTATTTCAATAGATTTTAACCCTGTGACCCACACTAGTACTTACGGTCACAAATATGAGATTAACAATAGGTAAGTTATACAGGTTAGTTAAATCTCATGTTAACAATAAATTTTAAACAAAATAGTTTGCCAAATGATGGAACAGCTGTTTCTGCCAGAATTAATTTGTTTTCTGTGTATATAGTTACCATTTCTGTCGTACAGCAAAAGTCAATCAGCTATTACGGTCAAAGTTTGATTGTGATATCATGCATGGTTAGTCCTTGATTAGCTCAAACTGTATAACAGAAATACCTGAACAGTTTTCCAATTGAAAAATGTACAAATTGAATAGTCTTTTCTGTTATGTAAATATAACAACACTTTGAGTGGATAGTAACATTTACTTGGAGGTTGTATAACCCACTGATGTTTTTCCTGGTCCCTCTACCAATTGACCAACAGGGATATTTCGTCTAAGTATGAAACTAGAAGGTGACTGCAATCCTATATATGTACAATTAAAACCTGCCACATTCAATCCCCGTTTCTGACACCACTTTAAAGCAGGTTCTAACTACTGTCACCCTGAATTAAAATTGCACATCATGCACTTGCTTTGATGTTATCATGGTCATGTCCTCTAATGAATTAATCTGAATCAAGTCCTTTAGTTACATAAAAAAAACACTGATCAAAAGAGCAATCAAAAAAGTTAATTTTAATACATTTATTATTCATAAAAAGCCATTTTTTATAACCTTTAACCCATTGAGATCGGCAGTAATGGTAGAGAAATTGAAGTCGTTGATCACATAATTATATGACTAGATGATAATGATTTTTGGTCAGTGTTCGTAGCTATAAATACACACTTTTTAAGGCATATATATCTGGCTGAAATCTTGTCGTATACATCTTATACACAAAGTGTAATTAATATATTCTAATAAATATTTGCAATTTTCTTCCATTTGTGATGCATTTTTAACTCATTCACCTCTTCAGACACATTTGAACTCTTCCAATTCAAAGATCATCATAGATTGGAATAGTTCATTACGAAATTTCAGGGGTGAATGAGGTAACAGATTTTTTTTTCATGGATAATTTAATTTACTTAATGCATCATCAGTAATATGATCTAGCTCAGCAAGTACACACTGTAATTATTAGCAGCTTTTGTTTTATTGTAATCATGATAAACAGACCAACTTGATGTGTGAAGGTTGTTTCATATTTTCCCGTTACAAATGGCAGATTTAATCCCGATTATAAATTTCTGGTAATTGGGTTTTCAGGACATCTTCTCTTAAACAAAAATATATTTCAAACAAACATTCATCTGTGTGTGCTTTCTATTCAAGTTCATACATGTTTGTCAACAGATATTGCATCACATTGACCACGCTTTAAGAATTTGAAGTATGTATACACTGTAGATTTGTGTGACATGTAGAATGTTTATTTTACAGGATGTCCATTTGAGAATGGATACAGATCAGTGTGCTGGAAGGTAGATATATATACTTAAGTTAAATTTTAACAGAGAAAAAAATAATAAACAAACAGATTTACACTCTTCCTTTACCACAAATCCAAATTTAAGTACATACAATTATGGGATGATATTCAAATTCACCATGTGTGATGTCGAATGATACAGTTATAAATTATCAGGCAATTGTCTAGTAATAAGCCCACACATATTCAATGCTATTAGTAGAAATACATATCAAATACTTCAAAATGCTATTTCATTGTCTTGTACTACTTTGAGTATGAAATTAAGCAGCATATGGGCTTATTGCAGAATAAATACCAAAACTGAACAAAAAACAATGCTTTTACAATTCCTTCTCAGATTCAATTTACATAGGTTGTTAGTCTAGTTCCTCGACTTTAAACTTTCGTTGTTCTCTGATAACAGTGAGAATATCTTGCCCGGTATTTTTATTGGCAGATACAGTAATGATTAAAGCTTCACTAAAACTCTTATATTATTCAATCACTGACTAATTTTAATTCATAAAATATAACTGAAGTAAATCAATATTATATCTTGTTCAATTCAACAGTTGATGCTCAACTACCTTCCGAAGAACAAGTCACAATGGAAAGAAGTGCTATCCAAACAACGGTAAGGGTGATTATTTTTAATGCAGCTGTCAGTTTCTGATTTAATGTAAATTTAATGTACATGTACATACATTTAAGTCAAAGGTTGTTATTGCTTTTCTCAAAAATAACTGAACCGATCTTCTTCAAATTTTGTACGGGTTTCCCTTGGGTCTTATTTGTGCAACACAACTTTGATGCATGGTCAGGTTCAAAGGTCAAGGTCACATTTATCAATTTTCATATTCTCTCATCAGTAAACATTGCATAATAAGATTATTAAACCATATTGTTGGGATTTATGGTCATATTGGTAAAAATTGCATAACATCATGAAGTTATGTTGTTAGGACTGTTGTCAGCTGAATCAAAGGTGTAAGGTTAAGTGTCATATGGTGAAAGGTCAAAGTCATAAAGGTCAGATGTAATATCTTTTTAATGGTAAACATTGCATAATTATCTTTGTGAAGCATCATTGTTGGCATTGACGCTACTTGCTTCTTGGTGTAAGATTAAGGTCAAAAGGTCAGATTTAATTTCCTTTTGGTGAAAATTGTGTCAAGAAATTTTGAAGCATTATTATAGGATGTATACTGGTTGCTGCTTGATGCAAAGTCAAGATAAATGGTAAAGATCACATTGGTCAAATATGTGCAAAATATTATGTTTCTTAATGGTAAACAATTCATAATTATCTTTATGAAGTTATATTTGTGGGATTGAAGCAATGTGGCCTGTTGGTGTAGGGTCAAGGTCTTAGGTGCTGTGGTCAAAAAGATCAACATTATGAAGAAATTGACCCCGAGTGTAATTCGATGAAGAGGTTTAAATTCAAAGTCTTGAAGGTCAAATTCTACATTCCTTTCCAGTAAAGCATTTGATTATAACAAATTTGGCTTCATAAAGAGAAGTTGGATGATAACAAAGCCAAATGATCCTTCTTCTGTGGTCTGATAGCTATAGTGGGAGCCAAGATCAGTCTGGAATATATTTCCATTAATACACAAGTAGTTCACATGAATCAGAATTCTTTTACCTCTAGATAAGGAAGTTTTCCCAATTTATATAGAAAAACTATTAAAAACACTGTTGCATGTCCTTGTTGGGAGTATAACTTCATAGGTATAAAGGATAACTTACACTTTGTGGACATCAAAGTGTTGAGCAGTGCAGAAGAACCACAACACTTTCTCTGCTAGATGTAGAGTTATTCCCCTTTGTATAAAGGAAACAACTTTTGTCACACTACCTTTAAACTTGTATATCTTTGAAAGAATTAAAGATAGATTTCAAAAAATTGATTCTGTATGATTATAATTAATGATAAGGACATTCAGACTGTGTGCACCACAATTCCTGTTCCTATGAAATTAGCTGTCTTTTGTCACATGCTCTTGCTTTGACACAGCAAATACGGGGGTAGTTTCCAAGTCGTGAATGTTGTCTGGAGCACCAAATAGTTCTGTTAATTCTCTTGTTTTTAAAAGGCAGCTACATTAGTAGATAATGATGACAAAACAAGGCGATGATGTGTATACATATGATGTAAACTTGTTGACCTTTACTAATAATGGGCTCCTGTCTTCCTTTTAGAGAGCTGTACAACCATTTTGTGGACGAGATGATAGTGAAGCCCGGGTCAGAGGCTTCGTCTGGTGCTCACGCTGATGATCATGTATGTAAATACCATATAACAGGAAATATTCGCTTCAGTATAATTTTCACCTTTCGTAATAAGGGCGAACTTATCTTTATAGTTAACATTAGTAAACAACATATTACGCATGATAACTAAATGTGAAGGGAAAAATAAACACTGGGCAGAGATGGAAGAGCAAAAGTTTGACTAGGTGAACATTTTTTGGTATGCACAGTAAGTGTAACTTCAAGTAACAGTCACAAATATGGGCTGAGGTTATATGTTGCCTGACAGGTAACTCATACAATCAAAATGGATGGACTCTATTGCGATCAATTTCACCATATATATATAGGTGGTTGCTTAACATAATTTTGAGTGGCAGATAGAGTGGTTACTGGTCAGATAGATGGCCACTTAACTCATTTACCCCTGAAATTTCACAATAAACTATTCCAACTGTTGAATTAGACAAGTTCAAATGAGTCTTCAGGGGTGATTGAGTTTAAATAGTTAAATTATGCACATGTAGTAAAATTGACAGATTACATGATGAGCAATATTAATACTGCTTGGAAATTATCAGAAATATCTTTTTACAACAGTAAATCATCAGTTTCATTAACCCTCATTTTTTCTAAAGTTTTAATGAAAATCATTAATGACCAGATCCAAATATTCAGAATGAGTTTACTGACAATGTAATTGTTACATTTCAGCCATTGAATCCGAACCCTAACAGTAACTGGGGCACCTACTTCAAAGACAACGATATGCTTCTACAGATAGACAAAGATTGTCGGTAAGTTACTGTGAACAGTTAGTTGCTTTTTTTTATTACATACTCATTGTACTGTGTATAGATGTTGGTTAGTTACTGTGTACAGTTGTTGTTTGTTACATACTCATTGTACTGTGTATAGATGTCGGTTAGTTACTGTGTACAGTTGTTGTTTGTTACATACTCATTGTACTGTGTATAGATGTCGGTTAGTTACTGTGTACAGTTGTTGTTTGTTACATACTCATTGTACTGTGTATAGATGTCGGTTAGTTACTGTGTACAGTTGTTGTTTGTTACATACTCATTGTACTGTGTATAGATGTCGGTTAGTTACTGTGTACAGTTGTTGTTTGTTACATACTCATTGTACTGTGTATAGATGTCGGTTAGTTACTGTGTACAGTTGTTGTTTGTTACATACTCATTGTACTGTGTATAGATGTCGGTTAGTTACTGTGTACAGTTGTTGTTTGTTACATACTCATTGTACTGTGTATAGATGTCGGTTAGTTACTGTGTACAGTTGTTGTTTGTTACATACTCATTGTACTGTGTATAGATGTCGGTTAGTTACTGTGTACAGTTGTTGTTTGTTACATACTCATTGTACTGTGTATAGATGTCGGTTAGTTACTGTGTACAGTTGTTGTTTGTTACATACTCATTGTACTGTGTATAGATGTCGGTTAGTTACTGTGTACAGTTGTTGTTTGTTACATACTCATTGTACTGTGTATAGATGTCGGTTAGTTACTGTGTACAGTTGTTGTTTGTTACATACTCATTGTACTGTGTATAGATGTCGGTTAGTTACTGTGTACAGTTGTTGTTTGTTACATACTCATTGTACTGTGTATAGATGTCGGTTAGTTACTGTGTACAGTTGTTGTTTGTTACATACTCATTGTACTGTGTATAGATGTCGGTTAGTTACTGTGTACAGTTGTTGTTTGTTACATACTCATTGTACTGTGTATAGATGTCGGTTAGTTACTGTGTACAGTTGTTGTTTGTTACATACTCATTGTACTGTGTATAGATGTCGGTTAGTTACTGTGTACAGTTGTTGTTTGTTACATACTCATTGTACTGTGTATAGATGTCGGTTAGTTACTGTGTACAGTTGTTGTTTGTTACATACTCATTGTACTGTGTATAGATGTCGGTTAGTTACTGTGTACAGTTGTTGTTTGTTACATACTCATTGTACTGTGTATAGATGTCGGTTAGTTACTGTGTACAGTTGTTGTTTGTTACATACTCATTGTACTGTGTATAGATGTCGGTTAGTTACTGTGTACAGTTGTTGTTTGTTACATACTCATTGTACTGTGTATAGATGTCGGTTAGTTACTGTGTACAGTTGTTGTTTGTTACATACTCATTGTACTGTGTATAGATGTCGGTTAGTTACTGTGTACAGTTGTTGTTTGTTACATACTCATTGTACTGTGTATAGATGTCGGTTAGTTACTGTGTACAGTTGTTGTTTGTTACATACTCATTGTACTGTGTATAGATGTCGGTTAGTTACTGTGTACAGTTGTTGTTTGTTACATACTCATTGTACTGTGTATAGATGTCGGTTAGTTACTGTGTACAGTTGTTGTTTGTTACATACTCATTGTACTGTGTATTGATGTCGGTTAGTTACTGTGTACAGTTGTTGTTTGTTACATACTCATTGTACTGTGTATGGATGTCGGTTAGTTACTGTGTACAGTTGTTGTTTGTTATGTACTCATTGTACTGTGTATAGATGTCGGTTAGTTACTGTGTACAGTTGTTGTATTATTTTTAGATCTGATTTTATCAAATTGAAGGTAAATAATTTAATTCTGTTTACAGACGACTTTGTCCAGACCTTTTTTTCTTCCAACGAGCGACAGATTTTCCGTGTAAAGAGATAATCCACGCAGCCTCTGGTGTTGAGACCCTTAGAAAGCGTGTGGAGCAGTGCGTTCTCCAGTCAGAGACCATACAAGTTGACAGACAGGGCAAGTCAAATGTAAGTGGCTTTGTAACACTGTCACCAAGGCCTAATGAAATAGACATTTGCTGGTCAGTGCACCTAAGGAATTAAAGTTCTTTTGGAAAATAAAAATGAAAAAGTAAATATGAAACTAATTTTTTTTTAACCCAAGATGAAAGAGAAATGTATATTTTATTGAAATTACATTTTAATCATGTCAAACTAATGAATGTTCTGAATGCAAAATAATGTACTTGACATTTTCCTCTTATCTTGCACTTGGTCTAGATCTGACAGTTCAAGTGCTTGTTTTAAGCTCCTTACATTTAAGTTAAGAAATGTTCATCTTCGCTAGCCAAGTGTTCGCTTCGTATATGAGTTTATTCGAAGCAAACACTTGGCTAGCGTAGATCAGACATGTTTGGCTTATAGAACCTCTGGTCTGTTTAAAAGGAAATATAATCAATTGGCTAATCTTCCCTTGGAAATTAAGTATAAAATAAAATAGACTCCCGCAAGGCTTCTTCAAATATATTTAGATATTGACGTGCCAAGGTTTCCAGACACACAAGATTATTGGTACATGTTAAAATATATTAAACAACTTTAATTACATAGCACATATTTAAAATTTTATTATGTTTATTCAGTCTGCACGCATACAGAGAAATCTTTTCCTGTACGTGTTAGAATTGACAATCTTAATGTATTTAATGTGACATTGACCCACACACATACACACATGTGACATTGACCCACACACATACACACCTGTGCCATTGAGATGATATGTATTGACTTACACATATGTTTTGTTGATATCCCGACAAAGATGATAATGAGTCGACGTAAGCGGAGCGAGGAGTACATGACACTACCAGATGGACAGGAAGCCCACTGGGAAGTGGTAGAGAGAATACTGTTCATATATGGTAAACTGAACCCCGGACAAGGTTATGTACAGGTAAGGTCAATCTGTAGAGGTGAAGGATTTGAACATGTAAAGTAAGTGTAAAGAGGTCAAGGTAATGTAAGGTAAATATAATCTATAGAGATCAAGGCTACATTAGGAAAGGTCATTCTATAAAAGTCAAAGTTAAATACAGATAAAATATAATCTTCTACTATAGTGATCAAGTTTACATACAAATAAATACTTTTTATAGAGGTCAAAGTTTATGGGGGTCAATGTTATGTTAAATATAATCTATAGAGGTCAAGGTTATAAACAGGTAAGGTCAGTGTATAGAGGTAAAAGTTATATAAGGTAACTATAATCTTTTACATCAAGGTTTTGTAAAGGTAAAATTTGGAGCTATAGAGGTCAAGGATATGTACAAGTAAAACAATATACATAGGTCAAGGTTATGTTAAACATAATTTATAGAGGTCAAGTACAGGTGAGGTCAATCTATAGAGGTCAAGGTAATGTAAGGTAAATACAATATATAGAGGTCAAGGTTATGTTCAGGTAAACATGATCTATAGAGGTCAAGGTTTTGTACAGGTAAATTCAATTTATTGAAAGCAATGCTGTATACTATACAGGTAGTATTGCTTTATAGAGGTTAAGGTGGTGTGTATTTATAGACAACATCTATAGAGGTCAGAGTTAGGTACAAATGTATATGTATAGACAATGTCTGCTGTATTATGATGTGATAATTGACCACTGGTCATGTCTGCTTCACCTGTTTTCGTAACTGTAACTTCTAGTCATTCTTTGCATAATCATTGTATGGTTACCGATCACTGGTCAATGTCTGCCATGCTATTATTTTTCAACCAACTGTTAGTCATTGTTTGCCTTACTATTTTGTGTGTTAACTGACCGCTGGTCAATATTCTATTTGTGACAGGGTATGAATGAAATCATTGGTCCTATCTACTATACATTTGCCACAGATCCTGACGTCACATGTAAAGGTTTGTAACCGAGTGGATTGTCGTCACAGCAAAAGGTCAAGCATTGTCAAATCACAACATTGCTTCATCACCCGGAGTATTGTGACAATACAATATATTTTTTACCATGTAACTAGACTGTTGAACTTGATTTTGAACCTCATACATCTATGCATTAGATTTCAAGATTATGTTATGAACTACACAAAGATCAGTGTAGGTCAAGGACAAAGGAAACTCCCTAGAAGTGTCTCACATATAATATCACCCTCACGGTCAACAGCTCAGTGGCAGGTATGGCTTTGTAAGCTACCCCGCAAGTAGTTTTTATTCCAGGCAGAATTAATAGTTCTGTTATTCTTGTGAGAATGATTAATTAGAAAATAAAGGAGTGTTTGTGTAAATCGGCCAGATGTTTATCTGTCAAAAAATAGATAGTGTCCTATCCAAAATGACTAGTCCCTACATTTCATCACATTTCCTGGAAACTGTTCTGCTTTGGTTGTGTATGTGTTTCAGCTGTACTTGTTCTAAAGTCTATTAATGATTTATTTTCATACATCAAGCGTGTTTGTTTTCAGAATATGCAGAAGCTGACTCTTTTTTCTGCTTCACCAATCTCATGGCAGAGATACGTGACAATTTCTTAAAGACACTCGACTTCGACTCTCAGTGTGGAATAGGTGAGTGTGTACCTGTCAGTGTATGACTCACAGTGTGGAATAGGTGAGTGTGTACCTGTAAGTGTATGACTCTCAGTGTGGAATAGGTGAGTGTGTACCTGTAAGTGTATGACTCTCAGTGTGGAATAGNTCTGCTATTTCTCGGGAAGTACAGGAGGGATCTTTCTCAAATTTTATATGTGTACCTGTAAGTGTATGACTCTCAGTGTGGAATAGGTGAGTGTGTACCTGTCAGTGTTCAACTGTGCCCTAACACCTCTCCAGTGGTAAACATACAGGAATAGTCCTCCATTAGTAAACCATGGGCCCCTTTTCCTGTATGCGTTTCAACCAGATAAAATGCTGTTTATTGCTAGTTTGCGTTATTTCTTTATAAATCAAGGTCAATCCACATGTAGATATATGATTTAGTGGATGCGTGAAAGAAGGACATGATATTTTTTAGCCCACCATCATCTGATGGTGGGCTATTCAAATCACCCTGCGTCCGTGGTCCGTCCGTTGTCCGTCGTCCGTCGTCCGTCCGTAAACAATTCTTGTTATCGGTATTTCTCAAGAAGTACCNTTGTAATTTATTCTCCGAAACTGCATTTTTTAGCTCTGCTTACAGTTCAGTCCAAGAGCGTTTGTTTATCGTGGAATATTTCTGCACCACCTGAACCGTTTCAACTGTGATACGTGAATGCGACCCTTAAAATGATTCTTTAAATGTATACGTAACTGTTCATGAAAATAATGGAAGTTTGATTTGATAATGTAAAAGATTAAGACCATTGTTTTGGATTAACGGTAATATATTTATATTGTCACAGGTAGCATGATGTCTAGGCTTGTAGACAAGATGAAGACGAGTGACGAACGTGTATCCCAAAGATTACAGGAACTCGACCTGAAGCCCCAGTATTATGCCTTCCGGTGGATAACACTTCTGTTATCACAAGAGTTCCCTCTCCCAGGTAACACAACGTTAACCTTCCTGAGGTAACACAAGGTCACAACCAGAATTTTGCACGTTAGATATAGACAAGACTGTTCCAGAAGAGACACTGGATGCTAAATGAGACTAAGAAATAAACTTTAGACAAGTTAACAGAAGATCTCTGTTATCTCTGCCCAATGCCACAGGAGTTGGAGGACTATGTTTATCTAATGTGATGTTTGAATGTAACCAGGCCATTTAAAGGTCACTAATGACTGGGAATTTGAAATATCTTAAAAGATAATGACAAATTAGACAGCATGTTGTATGTAGGTAGCTATATAGGTGTAATGAATCTGTGATCAACCACGTAACAATGCTCTGATCTCTCTCTAACTAGCCTATACAGACAATATCCCATCCTCGATACTCCAGGGTTACGCTCACTTTCACTCTCTACACCCCTAGAATAGCAAAATTGAAGGCCCACGACTAGCTATCTGATTGGGCTCTGGTAAAAAAACCTGACCAATCTCTAAGGCTGATGCCTGTCCTTAAAGATTACAGAGGAGCGACATTGGACTTCAAAACCAGTCAATTTTACCGTTACGTGGCAGAAAGATTCTTTTGTTGTACATCAAAGGATCACACTAGTCTGTTGTCTCATCCACAAGATAGGGTACACACTGAGTCATCAATTTTGCTATGACATATTCCAGGGATGTAGAGAGCGAAGGTGAGCATAACCCCTGGAGTGATGAAGATGACAGTATCGCTGTATCGCTACATAATCCAGATGATATCTCTATATAGAAATGTTCTTGATAATATCTGACTATCTGTGTATACCAGACTTTATTTGCTTATTTCCAGATGTCCTACGGATATGGGACTCATTATTTGCAGATGAAGATCGGTTTGATTTCCTCATATGTTTGTGCTGTGCAATGCTCATGTAAGTTATCACTAATAAATGTAACACAATTTTAATAGTCAACATTACTTGATATAGTTATTTATAGTAACAGCAACTTGTTTTCCCACTTCCAAGCTTATTGAGTTAACTCATTCACCCCTGAAATTTCATAATGAACTATTCCAACCTTTGAATTGGAGGAGTTCAAATGTGTCTTCAGGGGTGAATTAATTAATACATAATTGTTTTAAAAAGCAGGTTTCACAAGCCTTTTATGTTCCAAGATATACTGTAGTAACTGTTGTAGTAATGTGTGAGTGTATGTAAATGCTATTTTTGTTACAGACTTGTAAGAGATGAACTGATATCAGGCGACTTTCCTAACAGTATGAAACTGGTCCAGGTCAGTGGAACATGCTTAATATACATTATAACACTTTTTTGACTGATGACACTGAGGAGTATGTTCGTTAATGTGTTATGAAATCGGCTGATATGATCTCGAAATGTTTTGATTTGTTTGTCAAATTAGTGTGACAACATGTTTGATTATATTGCAGAACTACCAGAAAACAAAGATAGATTTACAGACCATTCTGTCCAAAGCTGTCGAGATCAGATAACACCTGGGCCGGTATTCTGTTGTACTGGAGGAGGTCAGTGTTCCCAGGTACGGCATCTTATAGTGAAATGTTAAAAGCTGTTGAATATTCACGTAAAAAGTACTGAAAGCAGATATGGTTAATATATGTGTCATAAGATGATACGTGATGTAATGTACTAGCTGAATCCGGTTATGTGATGTAATGTACTGAATCCAGTATTCCCTTCTTTTTAGGAAATTGCAAGACTTTGTGTGCTTCCCATTAAGGGCAATGACAGATGACACTTATTATCAATAGTAATGACCGATAAATGAACAACCATTAGATATATATTTGATAACATTTACAATTGATAGTTATAACAGATAACAGTTACAAACATCAGTTAAATTGTATTATAACCATTATAGATAATGGTTAAGATAGTTTTGTTGTATATATGTTTAATATATACATGTATATATTTACATTTCCCCTCCAAGTTCATCTATAAGCATTACCAGAAGAAACGCAATTTAATTAGCAGCAATCCTGGTGTGGTTCGGTTGTCTTTTGTATAATATTGAGGGTTTGTTTTTGTTTATATTTCTTGTGGGTTTGATTTGTATATATAATATTGTGGATTTATTTCCAGGGATGTACTAATACTGTGCATTGAACAACTGTGATAAATAGGGGTCAGGATATCACGGACGAGAAGTTGGACCGGATTTGTGCCATCGACCTTCACTAATTGGGTAAAAAGTGTCATGGTCAAAATGGCTGTTTCTGGATGTACCCTTATATGTACATAAACTTATTAAATTATCTGATCACTACGAATTGTCCTATCATGATTCGTAGGACTGTTTGCTTGTGATGGTATAGATATATGATATCATGACGAAGGGGTCCTTTGATATTTGCGTATGACTATTGGTGAATCGCCGCTGAGCTATATCAGTTTTACTCACATTTGGATATTTTACTGTGATCATTGTGCCAATGTGTTGTTTGTCTCTAGCACTAGTCCCATTGTCTCTTAAAATAATTCAGTTCAGACTTTGTGCTCCTCAGTTTTTAACCATGATACCTTGGTATCTGTTTTTTATGACAAATTATGTTTTATTACGTTTTTACTTTGTAACTTCTTAATTAACAGTTAACATAGGGGCAATGTTACCTCATCATTATTAACATTTACACAGGAACAAATGAAAAATGACTTATTATAACAAATGAATTAAGGAAAGCCTGGCTTATAATGTGTACTTGCCAATTATTGAGCCTTTACAACCAGTGATTTTGCTGAACTATTGATATATCCTAAGATCTGATGATTTCATCTGAAAGAACAGCTCAAAATATGCCATTTAATAGTGACGTTACCCTATGGAGTGGATTCACACCTTTTATGTTTTAGTTCTGAGCATGTGTAATCTCCTGCATGAAAATTTAAAAAGGTCAAGTATGATAATTATAGATACAGAAGCCATGACTTATAATCGATACAGATAAAGAAAACATGACTTATAATGGAAACAGATAAAGAAAGCATGACTTATAATGGAAACAGATAAAGAAAGCATGACTTATAATGGATACAGATAAAGAAAGCATGACTTATAATGGATACAGATAAAGAAAGCATGACTTATAATGGATACAGATAAAGAAAGCATGACTTATAATGGATACAGATAAAGAAAGCATGACTTATAATGGAAACAGATAAAGAAAGCATGACTTATAATCGATACAGATAAAGAAAACATGACTTATAATGGAAACAGATAAAGAAAGCATGACTTATAATGGAAACAGATAAAGAAAGCATGACTTATAATGGATACAGATAAAGAAAGCATGACTTATAATGGATACAGATAAAGAAAGCATGACTTATAATGGATACAGATAAAGAAAGCATGACTTATAATGGAAACAGATAAAGAAAGCATGACTTATAATGGAAACAGATAAAGAAAGCATGACTTATAATGGATACAGATAAAGAAAGCATGACTTATAATGGAAACAGATAAAGAAAGCATGACTTGATGACTTATAATGGAAAGGAAACAGATAAAGAAAGCATGACTTTCAGTGGCACAGATAAAAAAGTGTTTTTTGAGGAATCTGAATTTCTGGGTTAATTTTTTTTTCTAAAGAAATAATATATTTACTGTTATATTTGTCATGCAACTTGGACAAATTTTCTGAAAAATAGGCAATTTTTATGATCTCTTTTTATCAATTCATTTGTAGAGTTCATGGTATTATTCAACCTTGAGGATTTGTTTTATTGACATTTTGCTGGATTTTGTTTGCTCCAGATCTATATTTCTGATATGATATTGTCCATGAATGTTTTATAAGATTTCCTTCACATTTTTATGTAAAAATAAAAAACAATAATGTCTCATTAATAGAGCCATCATCAGTCCCGCTGTTTCGCTACAGAAGCTAGTCATCTGGCAAAAATATTTTACTATTTTATTGGAAGTTTTTCCCAAATAATCCAACTGTTTTAATATGTATAAGTACCTATCGGGCTATTTATGGAAAGCAAGTATAAAAAGCGACTTTGAACATAAAATTGAACAAAATTCCAAAAAACAATTAACTTTATGATATATTCTGTAATAACTTCCCGGTAGATTGAGAAATTTGAACTAATAATCGAACATTTGCTGAAAGAAGAACACATACCTACATCTAGAAAGCTATAAAGGATTCGTAGTTCATCATAGCTTAATAAGCCCAGTCTCTGATTAATATTAGTCTTCAGACATGCATGAATCACCGAACTGTTATTTCAGTACTTTTGGTCAAAGACTCAAAGTTGTTTAGAAAGGTAATGATTTTGATATGCTACTTACTGTAGGTTGTAAACACTAAATGTATTATCATGTTAAAATAAGGCATGGTTAATAAAACATTAAATTCACCAAAATTTATTTTACTGTAACGAAGGCATCTGTTCACTTCAGTCTGGTAACAAAACTAAGTCAGCTTGTCTCACTAACTAGACTGCCTGCTGGTATCGCTGTACTTATTCTGCTAGTCTCGCTAGTCATCTCAATATCTCTCTACCGTTGTCTACAACTCATACTATCAATAATTATATAGTTATACAATGTATACAATAAAAATGTGTTGTCATTTCAGTAAGATCACCATGATACATAAATATTTACAACATGAAACGAGAATAAATATACAACTAAAAATAACAGGGTCAAATTTGTTACATTGTTACCGGTTCATTGAAGTGGTTGAAGAGCGGTTTTGTAGTTGTGGTGGGGTGTATGTGGCGACTTCAACGCATATTCCATAAAGTGTTGACACTTCCTTGTATGATATTAAGAAGTTGTTGAATTCATACCGCAGGTCAACTTAAAAAAAAATTCACTCTTTCTATTGTTTTAATATCGTAGTAAAGGTATAGTTTTATCGTGTAGGAACTAAACTCGCATCATATTCCTCCGTAACAATTCAAGGTCTCCTTATTGTGTTGAAATATAACCATCAACGGCATAGTGGCTTTCTGCCAGCATCAGTAGCAAGCTATTGTATACTTGATGAGGAAATGTTGACAGTTATTAGGTTTTGGAATAATTCACTGTTTCATGTATATAACCCTGCTGGGGAAGTATCACAATGTCTGATTTCCCACCAGTCAGTCACAGTGGTCGATGTCAAAAAGTATTGTTAATAGATCATCTTTAAATTATTTTTCATTTACATGTTTACTTGTAAGTCATAAGTATATATATAAATATTTTTATTTGGGACTGTTTTTAAAAAAACATTTATATGGAGTATAACCAGAACGTTGTACATTTTTATATTAAAAATTAAATTGGTATTCTTAACAGAAGTAAAAATAGTATTAACATTGAAGGCCATATTTTAGGATAAAAACTATATATATATACAGTAACGCTGTTATTATCATTTATGTGCTGTTCGAATATATTGATGTGTGTTGGTTATTTTTTTGTTGTCAACAATAAGGAATGTAAATAATGAGAAGTTATTTGATTAAAACAAACACTTTTTGGTACAGTTTTATGTCTAACGTTGGTCTGTAATAAACATGTCCTTGAAGCTTGTACATTATTATGTCCAGAAATAACATTCCTGTATACACTTTTCACATTTAATGATCCCGATCCCGGCCTGAGGTGCTGCTGTGTAAACATACCTCTCTTGATTTTGTTAACTCTCAATTCTTACCTTATAAGCACTTTTGCTTTCACCCAATGACCTCCTTGCTTTAGGATCCCTGTACCACTGCCAAAACTGTAACTACATGCCTTTGAAACGGATTTTTCAGGCATGATTACAATAGTTTTGATACATCATTTCTGAAATAAAACCTTACCATGCAGAACTTTAAGAAAAATAACAAGAGACGAAAGACAGAGATGAAAGAACTTAGAAATAATCAACACTAGTGTTCTGTGCATAAAAATTCATCATGACTTAAGACCTGAGTAGCCAAACCCTGGAAATGGTATTGTTATACTCTCTCTCTATCTTATTGAGCTACCTGGTCAACAGAAGTACCCTTGGCCCAATTATTCTGCAATTACATGAAAAAGAAATGAAGGAGAGGTTACAGTATATACGAAAATCCACAGTGGAAGTCTTAAGTGTCTTGCCCGTGGGGACACGGATCCTTAAAAATCGGACTTGTACAAGGCTACTACTAGTACTGTCAGGATAGGTAGCTATAGGCTCCATTTCTAGTTGTAGTCCTGCTCAAATCTGATATTGTTTTCCCTAAGAGAATATATTAAAGCACTAGTTTATACAAAGAAGGCACGGTAGTCTAGTGGTAGGACGCCGTGCTCGTGACCGAATGGTCAGCGGGTTCGAGTCATGGCACGTCACTGTGTTTTATCTTTGAGAAGGATACTTAACTCCACTTGTTGAATGCTAGCTGTGAGCGCCAAAATGACAGCATCGGCTGTATGCTCCCCAGGGAGTTGAGAAATATATTGGCTGGTTGCAAAGGCCCTATAACCAAGGATAATAGTTTGTGAATCGGTTTGAGATGATCTACACACTAGCTAGCTGTGATAATGCGGTATATAAGAACCACAAATCATTATTATAAAGAAACATACGCGTTAGGCTTGGGTTGGCAATTCCATAGTTCAATACTGTGTTTGTGATTTAATGAAAAGATCATTCCTCCTTTCAGATACAACATTCAATTTGTCAAACAGTGTTCAAAATAATCCCATGCTTTTAAATTATAAATAGAGTACCTTGGATACGTCTCTTTTTCCTGCTTTGGGGAAAGTCTTACCATGTACAATGTATATATGCTCAACTTTTGTAAAGGTTTACATAAAAAAAAATGTTTTTCAGTGATTTCTTACCAAAGTAAACAAACACAAAACATCACCCACCGAAATTGACAACAGGTCAGGATAAATTTTAGTTAACAATTAATTTTGATATTTACTCCATTACTACTGTAAATAAACAAACGTAAGTTTGTTCATTGTAAAAATACTACTTTTTATCAAGAACTATTAGGGATTCAACATCCTCGATACTCCAGGGATAACGCTTAATTCACCAATTTCATGACAATTCGAAAGCCCAGTGTGCACCACCTTGTGGATGAGATAAGAAGACTAGTCTAATGCTTTGATGTACATCGAAATAATCTGTCGGTCGCGTAACGGTAAAATTGACTGGCTTTGAAGTCGGGTGTTGCTCTTCTTTAATCTTCAAAGTACAAATATCAGCCTAGCGATTGGTCAGGTGTTATTTTTTTACTTAACGTCGCATATTTAAAACAATAAAACATTAGCACTGTAGTGCTATTCTTGCGACAAATATGAATTATAATAGCAATCACATGCAGGTAATTATAAATACTAGTAATATCACAGAGGTAATTTAACAAGTTAAACAAGGTACACTAGAAAAGCAGCACATAAACAATCACGGTAAGGTAGCATAATAATTTAAATGTATAAATCTAGGATTAAGTACTGAAACTCGTATGTCACACAAGTATTTCTAATTAAGGGTTAAAGCACCATTACAGTGAATTATACATATATGCTAATATATACACTAATACAGTGTGATTTAAAGGGACATTGATGTTAGTCACCAATAAGATTTAGATTTATAAACTTATGTTAGAAATATTTGATTGAAATATGCTGCATGACGTTCCAAAATTAAGATTATTAAAACAAGAAGCACATAAAGCATACAGGACATACATGATAGTAAAAGGAGTAACAATGTTACCGTTAAAGGGGCAGAATTCCATTAAAAGTCGAGACATTTATAGCAATCAAATACGAGTAAAACAAAAACAATCGGATAACTTGTTGCGGACCTTCAATTTTGTTATGACATATTCCAGGTGAGCGTAACCCCTTGAGCATTGAGGATTATCAGAAGGACATGCATCAACTATTTCAAAGTATGTAGTTTTTATATCAACTGGTGAGAAATAGAGATAGTTTCTACACAGTTACGGGTATTTCACAAAATATTTAGTAGGAATATTTAGAAAATTGTAAATAGTTGCCGGGAATTTATGTTACCGATTGCTTGTGAATTATAAATTATTATTGATTTTCCAATATTTCTTCCAATGACTCATTAAATGACTCATTTTGTGTGGCTTGCATCGATTTCCTCCTATTTGTATATGAAATGTGACTTGCATTTGTGTATGCGGCTTAGAAGGTTTTGTTAATGCTCAGAGCACTGATGACCTTCAAACCAGCTTCATTTCGAAATAGATGGTCTTAATGCTTATATATTTTCACATATATTTAATTATATTCATGAACGATAAAATACTCTACGTTGTCATGTAAAAGACATGATTTTATTTCGCAATTGTTATAACAGTTTTAAAATTAATCAATGTGGTTTTTGTATATTTCTGTAAATAAAATTGTACTATAATGTTTATTTTGTTAGCTTGTCACTTTCTTCATGTGTGAAATAAAAAGAAAAAAGTGCCACGTCATAAACAAACACGGTCAATTCATTGTCAATACCTTAAATAAAACAATTTTGTAATCCCGTGGTTCTGGTGTAACTTTTGACATCTGTGATTTGGTTGGTCTTGCGACACTCAAGTTTGCTTTGTTTTGTTTTGCACAAGATGTAATATTACTCTTCAAAGCGTCTCAAATAAATGATTTTAATTATATTCTTGATCCCAAAGAGGGTGAAAATAACTTCAGTTGATTTTGATAAGAAAAAGAAAAAAATCTGATATAATAAAGACGTTCATCTTTGTGGAAATAAAAAAAAAACTTTCTGTTACAATTTAGGATTAATGTTAAAATATAGATTCAGTGGACTTGTCATAGGAGCTAAGGAGACACAAAAACAAATTGAAACTTTACCAACGACCATGGTAGCTTAATTGATGTCTCGGTATCACGTCGATCGAAATCACATCGAAACATATTGATAACGGTATATCCATTTAATTTCCTCATCGTAGATTCGCCAATAAACAGAAAGTTAGATCTACTCTCGAGAAATGAAAGGATAGGGGAAATTGTCTATTCCTTCTTAAACTTCCCTTTGGTTAATTCAGGTACGTAAGTGGCGCACAGTTGGTCCGCATTAGAATAATGCATATGCCTTTTGAAATACTGTAAAACGATAAATTCAACAAAAATGTTATGGATCAAAAGTAATTTTCTCGTTGATTTTCTTACTGGCTGAGTACGTAGTGTTTACAGAGCTCAGTATCACTTCCATTGAAAGATATATATTTATTTATGTCAATTTCAACTTATGAGGCATAGGTTAAACTTATGAAAGGAAACGAAGGTATAAACTATTAAGAAATTGAAGCTTCCAAGTAGTTCATTTTGAATTAAGATCGAAATTCAAAATAAATTTTCCAGAATTCTTAATTTTGTTTAAATTTACATTTAATTAGTTCCGTTACGTGAGCAGGTATTTAAATATAATGTTTCGATTTACATACTAAGGAAATAAAATTGATGCTATTCAAGTTGGATTTTAGTATCCGTTATTGTACACATGTATGCTATACAGAAAAAAAACACCACACCGTATGTAAGTTGATGACTTTATTTACATGTGGGTATTTATGAGGCGGTCTGTACGCCTCATGGTGTAACTGGCGCTGCAGACGGTCTGTGAATGTCCTCGTTCTTCTCCAGGACCTGAAATATAAACAAACCTAATTACACAGGGGCGGATCCAGGATTTCCTAAAAGGGGGGGCCTTTGGCAGCACCCCGAGCGCGTAGCGCGAGTAGGGGGAACGTACAGGAGGGGCTCTTCCCCCTCCCGTAAGGGGGGCTTGGGGGATCTCCCCCCAAAACAAATGTGTTTTCAAGAACGTCTCAGAAGCGATTTCCCGTGTTCTGAGGATTGTTTTTATGTTTAATTAACAAGAAGAAAAAAACATATTTTAAGTCTGGCCCAAAGACTTTTTTTGTGTACTGGAAAGAAAATTAAAGTTTCGGTTCAAATTCTCTATCAACAGCGTGTTTTAGAAGTCAGATGGTATTGTTATAGGGGCAACCTGGTGATACTTTCTTGTACGTACACGATGGTAAGCTGTAAGTACCACAATGAGATATTATGTTGTACATACAAGATAGTTAAACAGTTCCAACAATATATATAATACCAAAATAATTGAATGGATATGTTTAGTCGATTATACATAATAATGTCAGCCGAAAAAAACCTTTATCGTTCTTGTATAATGATATGATTAATATCGCCCGGGCGGTTAGGAAGGTTACAATAAAAAGTATTAATTTTCAGATCATCTATAACGAGCGGTCGATGATATAATTATGCAACTTATGCTAGTATATTTCCGCCGAGCGTTGCAAGTTGCAACTTGGGGTTTTGCGGAGGTGGTAAAATAAAAAACACACTTTAGGGTCAAGATACAAAGTAGACGAGCGTAGCGATGCAAACAAATATTGTTTTAATAATTATTTAGCTGCACTAATATCGATGAAATATATTATAACATATTTAATCCAATATTATCTTGGTTAATTTCTCGATTGGTCTTAACGAATTCTATATGACTTACGTGTATCCAGTGATCTACAAACTCGTTTCGATCCACCATCCCGTCTTCTGTAATGACACAAAATTGTTTATGCATGACATGTTGAAGAAGATTTGTGTGCGGAATCAAAAACACAAGATATTCTCGATTATCTATCATATAATTGTCGCTAGTCGTCTTCCAGGAGGTAGAGGGACGCCACATAGTCCTCAACACTGTTGACGAGGAAAAGGATCTGGGAGTAACCATCGATATAAAACTGCTATTCGCTACATATATCCACAAAGGATGGCAACGGGGACCACACGAAGGACATGGGTCTGTGGACCAAAGCCGCCGTGACAGCCTATCCGCATCTGAGGAGCAGTTCGACCTTAGGGGGTGATCTTGACATGTTTCAGACATTTTGAATCTTAAGAGGGCCTGGTAAGTGGAAACTTACCCTCTCACGTCGACCGAAGCACAGACTACCGACAGTGAAAGGCAGGAGATAAACCAGTCAACCAACCAATCAACCTACACATATCCATCGAGCGGTCAAGAAAGCAAATAGTAATCTAGGAATCATAAGAATGAATTTCCGTCCCATGGACAAGGTCACCTTCCTCAACCTATAAGGCTCCAGTCTAGAATACGCTTCCCCAGTATGTTCTGTGACTTACGAAAACAGCATTGCACTCGAAAACGTCCGACGTCGAGCCACTAACTTATAAGACACTCACAAACCATACCCGGATAGATTGCTGGATATTGGTCTTCCACCGCTACAATATAGGGGTTACCGAATGGACATGATTGCAGTGTTTAGAATAACAAAGAATCATTTCTGTGATTAGGAGCAGCTATTCCATCCCCGTTCTGAAGAAATGACCGGAGGACAATAGAAAAATCAAAGGTCACTGCCGACTGGCTATTAGGAAACACTCATCCCCACAAATATATCACTCGGATTCGACGTAATCAACTCACGGGTTTGGATTTTGTCATATGATATTTCAGCCCACGGTAAGTAACAGAACTTCTACTCACTATTTCCGTCCATTCTTATGTAATACTCGTCGAAGTCGCGGTCATCAATGAAACCGTCAGGTGGCGCGAAGCAGTCGTAGTCTTCAAACAATATTACAGCAAAGTTGTAGAGCGGCGGGGATATCAGGTGAAGATACTCATGGCGGGCGACGCGGTTATCGTCTGCGGGGCAAAAGACATGGAGTTCTCTCAATGGACAATTCCGTCTTTGCGTATTGCAGAGTTATCTTCTCTTGGGAGCAGGTATTGATTGTTACGTCACTTGTTTGTGAGAGTAACGTCATCAATCTGTAAGAAAACGACGTAATTTTCTCGCACAAACCAATGACGTAACAATCAATACCTGCTCCCAAGAGAAGATAACTCTGCAATACGCAAAGACGGAATTGCTAATTAAATTAAATAGTTTTAGAACATATTTAATTTATTAATGTTATAATGTCAATTTGTCATTTCAAAAAAAAAATCAATAGAATATGCGTATCAAGGTAAAGAATGTCAAAATAACTTTTCCATAAAAATCACATGTTTTGGTACATTTTACAGGTTTGCAATTAGAAATGAAAATACAAAAGATCAATATTTAAAAGAAACATGTGATAACGACTCTTCAGATACGTTAAAAAGACTTACAGCGTATACAAAAGAAAAGCTGAGGGGTAACATTTTTAATATTCCCCAAGTTGACACAACTTTTATCGAAACCTTTTTATTGAAATTAGATGTCAACAAGCAACCGGGCTCGACAACATCAGCGCATTTTTTTTATTTTGAAGTACTGTGCTAAATCCATTGCTCCAATTGTTTGTAAACTAATGAATACTAGTATTGACATAAACAGTTTTCCGGAAGTTTGGAAGTATGCGAAAGTAAGCCATCTTTTTAAAAAGGGTAAAAAAGAGGTTTTGTGTAACTTCAGACCAATATCAGTACTTCCTGTTTTATCAAAATGTCTAGAAAAACATATTCATGACCATTTTTATAAATTTTTGTCTGACCACAATTTGATTACAGATAGCCAATCTGGCTTCAGAGCAAAACACTCATGTCAGACTGCGCTAACCAATATCACAAACACCTGGTATGAGGCTATATACAAAGGTATTTTGACATGTGTTCTATTTCTTGTTTTTCGACCTTGTGAACCACTCTATTTTAACGTCCAAATTGGAATTGTATGGGTGTTCATCCAAAACAATGATATTTTTTTCAAAGTTATTTGAGCGGGAGATTTCAAATTTTAAACTTTAAGAACACTTTGAGTGATTCTCTCCCTCTTACAGTCGGTGTCCCTCAAGGGTCAATATTGGGACCACTTTTGTTAATTTTATATGTAAATGACCTGCCCCGATTACAAATCAAAGTTCCTTGTATATGTACGCTGATGACACCGCAGTGCAATCACAACGGAAATCAATTGGCATTATAAATACCAACCTCAATGCTGATGCAAAATTAGTGTCAAAATGGTGCGATGAAAACAAAATGTGTGTAAACACAGAAAAAACAAAAGTCATGCTTGTTACTACTTCACAGAAAAAATGTAAATTAACAGAAGAATTGTCCGTTGTTTTCAACAATATTAACATTGAAAATGTAAAATATGAAAAACTTTTGGGAGTGTCCATAGATGATTGTCTCTCTTGGAACATTCAATTTACAAATGTCTGTAAGAAAATATCATATCAAATTTTTCAGATGAAAAAGTTGAGACCCTTCTTGAGCCAGTCCTCTTGTATGACCTTTTTTGACTGCTTTGTTAACTCACATCTGGATTATTGCTCAACTGTTTGGAGTAACAGTTCAAAAAGTAATATTGTAAAACTAGAACGCCTGCAAAAGAGAGTAGCCAGAATTATTTTAAAATGTGATTTTTCCACACCTTCCTGTGATATTGTTCAAAAAACTAAATTGGCTACCTTTTAACAAAAGAATTTTATACAATCAAGTAGTTTTTATGTACAAGATACTTGATAATTTAGCTCCACAAAATTTGAATGATTTTACGCATATGTCTGATGTTCAGGGTAGAACTACAAGATCATCATCTACTAATGTGTTTTACTTGCCATGTCATAAGACAAACATTTTTAGAAAATCTTTTAGATATCAGGGACCCCCTAACATGGAATCTTTTACCAAGTCACATTAGAAATTGTACTTCATTTTTAGAATTTAAGAGATCTGCAAAGCAATTTTACTTGAAATGATTTATGATTTCCTCTCTTATCCTGTATTTTATACATGTATATTTCTTAAAGCTGTAAATATTGTACATTTTATCTTACATTGTATCTTGACCATGTGTAAGATGAGCTTCATGGTCAATATGTTATCAAGAATAAATAAAGCCTTTATTATTATTATTATTATTATTATTATTATTATAACAGAAAAACATGGATCGAGATCAAAACTTAAACAATACAAAGCATACGCTTTACCAATGCTGCCACCCATTCCATTAATCATAAATGCCCTATGTATTGTGTGTCCAAATTATGGGCAGCAAAGCCTATGAAAAGAATAATGATTATTGAAATACAATGTATACATAACTTGACAAAGGGACTCGTCGTCTATATAGAAGGGAGAGTATTCCGAGTCAAAAAAAGGATGGAACTCTTCTGCGCGATTATAACAGATGAGTGGTACCCCTTACCTTAATCAAATGGTACCCTTATGGGGTTGTTTTCCATGGATTATGTTCGATCGTCTTTAAAAAAACTACGTATGCGTAGATACAGTTTTTTATCTTAAGTATTTTTTCGAGATTTATTTAAAGGAGAGGCCGGGACATACCAATGTCCTTAAACAGGTTCACCCGTTGTCAGTATAATATGACCGGGCGAAATGCTGTATTTGGTGCCTTTGGCATGGCATTTCAGTGAGATAGCACTATAAAGTCGGCATCAGATCCGCGCTATCACAAGGAGGCAAGCACAACAGCATACCCTGTCTCCTGCATACAAAAACGCAAGCACGCATACATGTACACTACACACATAGAGGCATGTCTTTAAATGACCTTAGCTGTTAATCGGACGTTGAACAAAATTAAACCAAGCCGTGATGTAAATATGTAAGAACGTCAAGATATGAGAAACTTATGTAGCTATCTGATAGATAAACTGATGTATCATGATGTTGACCCTACGGTTGACGTCATAAATCTCGAAGACGCCGTTGAGTTCGTCTCGTTCAAATTGTCCGTTTCCATCAATGTCGGAACTGTAAAACAGGTTTGCAGCTGTCACGTTGTAGGGCCGGAGCTCTATATAGTCTCTGAAACAATGAGAATAGTTCGACATAAACTGTAAACTTTAAAATATGCTCGTTTAAATACTGCACAATGTTATTATATACAGCAGGCAATGTTAACACAACATTTGGCGGTCAATTCGTAGTACTTGTTTTAATAAAAGATACCCAGTGGTCATCGCGCAAACCGACATACCCTGAACAATCCCTGATATATCGACGGTGTTTTCAATCAGTCGTTTGGTTAAAAATTATCTGGTGGAGTTGAGAATCAGTCATTCTGGCCTTGAATTTCAAATCAATTACTTCTTATGGCCGCAGTATTGATTTACCGTAAAAAAAACCATTGAGTATCTATGCCTAGGGATGTTCACCTGGACCTAAGAAGTAAGTTTGAACGATTACGCAGTTTTCTCTTAAAGGTCTCGTCCACAGAAAGAACGGTCACTTCAACAACATTGAATTTCCTTGGCCCAAGAATGCTTCAAGCTAGATAAAGTCAAAATCATTATAAAGATTCATCCATGTTGGGATATATCCCACCTCATCCCTACTCAAGGGGACCACATCCTTCATTAACAAAATATGTCATTCCTTTGGCCCAGAGGCTCTTCATGTTTATTTTGTTTAATGTCCCAAATATTTTAACTTTACAGGCCCAGTAGGTATTCCCCAATTTTTCCTCGTTTGTGTCTAGCCCTTCTGCCTCAAACGGGGTCATATCCTTTATTAATTCACCCGCCACAATTTGTTAAGCCCATGGCTTCTCCATGCAAAATTATAATAAGACTGTCCGTACATAACAAGTAGCCTTCGAATGTTTCATTTTCAAAGAAACCACATCCTTTATTTATACGTTTTGGTTGTTTTAGAGCAATTTCCAATAGAATTGTAAATGGATAAAATTAATTTGCTTTTTGCAAGTATTACTTGACGTTTAAGCATCATTTTCTTATCCTTTCAAATTGTGATGACCTCGAAATCTTTACTCTATCTAAGTAAGACCATTACCAGAGAGTACAGAGCTCAAAGTCTGTATCGTATGTCTTCATTACTTAGGTAGGAGTTAATATACAACGACGAGAGTACTGGAGGCCCAACTTCCTTGTATGAGTAAGCTAGCATGTGAACAGTTGTGCTCGTTAGGAGGAGCATATCGCTTCATACCTAATATACGTCTACATTCAAAGCAATAAGGCTTTGGATATATATCAGGATTCTCCCCAGAATTTTTTAAGCTGTTATGTGTAATTTTCAACGGACGACCAAGACGGGCACAGCACTGTAACATGCTTAACGATATCATATCAACTTAGGGGGGTATGGGGGTGGGGGTGTCATCATGAAGATGTGTCCCTTAGTTTCTGTCGACACTTTAAATAAGTACTTCTTTTTACCAAACTTTAATGTTTCTTATGCATAGATTTTCAGCAATATAATTGTTTAGATATTATAAAAAAAACATATATACATTTGTACATTGAATAAGTTATAAAGAAGAAATACCGTCATCGTGAGGTACTTTTCGATGATATGTGTGATACATATTTTTACCACTCAGTATAACTAATACCACTTTCGTGACGTGCAGATACAACTGAGGGTTTTATTCAAACACATCTGGTATTTTGTTCTTGCATCTCTTGGATGTCAACACAAATCAACCGTTTCTATGAATATATCAAAAGAGGAAACTTACCCATATTTAAGATGTCTTTCAAAAATCCTGGGCGCCCAAGAAAAACGAAAGACTTAAGATTTCAGTCAAAAAAATATTGTTTTTTCTTTCATTTTTATATCAATGTAAATATACACTGTACATGTGAATATGGCCAGCGGTGACTGTTTCACGAAATGGAGAGAGATTTCGGTAAAAAACAATTTGTTGAACTTTGGGCCTTAGTCTGATAATAATTCATGATCAGAGGACTGAGTCATACATGCATGGATACTTTCTGTATGTGTATATTTTGTGAGGAAACAGTTTACTAAATAAGATATCCAGATAATAACATTAACAAAAATAAACATAAATATTAGTATGTTACTATTGTAAACTTAGCAAATATTTAAACAAAAGCCGTGTACAATTCATGACGAATGAAAAGAGATGTAAAACATCATTATTGATATAAGATAAACTTTATGTATATTTCAATTAACATTAATCACTTTTGTTGGCCGAATGTAAGTGCGCGGGGATCTTAGTGTGAGAGGAAATTCACGTCCGATCGGGTAATCAAACCCCGGCAATGCGATTATTGAAAGGGAAATGTAAAACAAAACAAAACAGATTTTGTGAATGTTTTTGATTTTATATGAACTTTAAAGCTCGTACTCGGTTATCATGGTCGGCCTGTGATCGGAGGTACCTGGGTGTGTTTTAGTATACGTTATCTAGTGATAATTTATCGTTCGCAATTGACATACCTGTATCCGATGGCTGTATAACAGTTGTCTATGTTTCTATTTATATACAGATATAAAAGACAACGAAAATCGATATTCCGCTATCCATATGGTACCAATACTTGATTTTCATCTTACAATAAGTGATATCATAAACTTTTTGCAATGGATTAAAATATTTTTTGTCAAGAATTTAGCAAAATACATACAACATGTTTTCTTTCCGTAAAAAACAACAACATATAAAGCAGGCAAACACGACTTTCTGCAATATCCCAAAATAAATTTCCCCCAAACATATCATGTATACTTACTGCGCAAGGGAAACCCATATAAAGCAAGCAAACACGACCCAGGTCTTCATTGTGGCACTTGAAATGAACAGGTCACTTAAGAGTCATGTATTTGTGTGAAGACGTCCATCTGGTGGTAGATCTTATCTTCTTATTGTGGCATGTTCTACACATTTTCGCGGGAAGTTGTACAATTATTGACTTTTCAGGAGGTGGATATGCGTATTTATCAATGACAAAAAAATCACTAATGACGTAGAAGTAAGTCAGGGAAAGGCTGTTTACTAATTGCCCTTATTATTATGCAATGTCTTCTTTTATTACATACTTGTCGTGTTATTTAGTGACTACACCCATATCATATATTCGTGTGTATTTCCATAAACATAAATAGTTGTAGGACGTTACATACGACATATATCAAATAGAACCAAGATGGCGAAATTTCATATTTCAGGAATGACATGAAAAAGCCTTTTTGACAATATTCGCAAAACCTTTCATTTTTGAATTTTTGACACTCTTCGCGAATGTTTGGTTTAGTTCGCCAAAGGCTTGTTTAAATAAAAAAAATCTTACACTCGTTTCATAAAATTCTAACTAAAATTGAAACTCGTGTAAGATCCTGTGTATTTACAGCACATTTGAGTAAGAATTCCAACTTAAAAACACTTCGTGTAATCCAGTAGTCATTTACCAAAAACCACTGTGTATTTAAGTGGCTTATTTCTGTGAGAGAGAAATTGTCGCGTTAATTCCGTGGCGAGGAACTCATTTGCGAGTTTACTTTTAACAATGTTATCATTTCCAGAGATAATTACTAAAATATTGAAAAAGAATACTTCAATTTAAGCGATTATAACCGAAAAACTCAATGAACGAAAAAGAGAATACAAGATAAAATAAATCAAAGTAGTTGTATAACTTCTTATGCGTATTTATATAGGTAAAATACAAATGTACGGGTTTTGTAATATTGCAAAGGTGAAAAATGTTGTTATAAATTTATAAAGTTTTATAGAAATTAAACACGCCTTCGCTACACTTTGCTTTAATTCTACTTTAAAATGTTGGTATCCAAATAATCACCTCAAAAACGTAGGACACTTTGCAGCTAGTTTTTCTTACACATGGAGTGGCACTTGTGTGACTCGCGCGTCATAATACTTATATTACGTATGTATCTTTTGCTGTTTACATGTACATTGCCTAAAGCTATTAAACATAATTCATACATTAACCAAGTAGCCACATCACCATCATTGCTATATACGTGTACCACTGATATCATCTATACTTCACAAAGCAGTATCAATATATAGTTCTATATATTTTTTGGAAAGAAGCGTGCACAATATTCAACGCAACTTTTCTTTTAAACGTTTGAAAACCCCGACGTACAGTTTACGAAGTCTGCTATCAAACAACCCATATAACAAGGGATTTAGAGCCGACCGTAGATACAGTGAACGAACCCCGAGATGGACGAAAATGTCAATGGCCTCGTCACCAAAACTTTCATTATACAACGTCATGGGTAACGCTACAGAAAACGGTATCACAGACAGGAAGTACGTCAGTGAGATGAGCATGCCCACACGCAGGATGTCGTCATGGCGCTGTTTGCGTTGTTGCTGTTGCTTAGTACGAAGGGCCGACTTGGTCACAGCGTTGAGGTCGTTAATACTCCCAACAGACCTTGTTCGTCTGTTAAAAGGCGTACTTATTTTTAACGTAGACATCAGTTCCTGTGATCGCGGACGTAATGTATGAGCTTTTGCTAACGCTGTCGATTGTTGACGATGTTCCTTTGTTTCACTTTTAGTGAATGTTTTGTCATCTAATAGGTTTGATTGAAGTTGTTCACTTTTTGTCTGTGGAGCCTCGTTTTCATTCTCGCCAACATCAGTTACTATTATTTTAGGGATGTCTCTAGAACTATCATTTCCCGTCGATGAACTCCTTCCAAGCTGTACTTTATTATCAAGTAAAACATTTTCTGTCATTTCATTATGTGCTTTTGAAGTTGACGATGGGAAAAATACAGTAGAAGTCATTAACATAGGTGAATTCAAATCACGAGTTTCTTTTTCGTGAATGTATTTTCCTATAGCGCCATATAGTGCAATAGTTACCAACGTCAGCAAACAAAATATACAACTCCACATATAAAATATAACTTTCACTTCCGTCGCATCCTTCAGCTCATCATCAATGCCACATATTTTCAGAGACAAAGCGTTGTTTTTGTCAAAGCTTTCCTCACCAGCCACTACGAAAAGAGGAGCATGCAGTACCATAGATCCAAACACAATGGCGCCAAAGACAAGTCGAGCTGCTGTAAAAGACAAGTGTCGACCTAATGGCAGGGATATCTTGCGGTAGCGATGTAAGGCAATGACGAGCGTCATCACCACGCTGGCTGTGGTCAGAACACACTTGGTGTAGGTCTGGACTTTGCAACCAAAGCTGCTGAGCAAGGTAAACGCGTACCGCTGTTGTAGAACATCTACTGGCATGACTACTGCGCACGTCGCCATGTCCAGTACACACAAATACAACAGCAACTCGTAGTACACAATGGTGCTACGACGGCACGTGGATTTCATGTGGAAATATGTCAACAAAAATATGGCATTTGTAGAAAATCCGAATATAATCTGTAACGAAACGAAGATGATACCATGTACTTGAGCATGCGCCGCATTGTCATCGCATATTTTCACTAAGGAATCGTTGCCAGACATCGTCGATAGATTAGCCAACTTGCATCAGTCCTATGCACCTGCTAGACTTTGGACAATGATGGAGAGAAATAATTCTATTTCGTCAAACCTCATTTGTATGTCTCGTTTATGTAGTGATATAACCGCATGAATCACGAGCTTTCACTGCTCGTTGTACCATGAAGTACAAGTGTATGTTAAGTGGCTGAAGTGTTCACTGTCGGTACTAGATGTCCTCGTTGTGCACTGTATCTGACCTTACATGTGATTTTGTACATTTTGAGCAGTATTGTCGGTTTCTATCGGTGAAAAATTGATATCACACGATGCATATATTAGGCCCTATATACCATATATAGCGTAGTTGTTGACAACGTCGTTGAAGTTTATTTTTAAATAATTTCTCTCTTTTGTTCACATAAAATGACAATAGATCGAAAAAGGATAGCAATGCTTCACAGTATTAACTAATAGGATAAAAAATTGTTATAACATTTAATTGGGTTGCAATGTCGAGACTGCAAAGAGAACCATATATGTTAAAGTAGAACTGAAATGGAGACAGTGCTCGCTTTCTTCTCCCTTCTAAACATTGGTAAGTATATATGTCACTGCCCCAACATGTTAAACATTAAGTAGGCCATTATGATTACTTTTGTTACAGAGTGAATTAGACCAAAATAACCTCGGCGTCAACACTCAACCAGAAAATCGTGCCTCAAGGTCAGCGGACATCAAAACAATGGGAAGGACATCAGCGACCCCCACAGAAGTATTGGAAGGACATCAGCGACCCCCACAGAAGTATAGTAAACAAAAACTGTAAGTCTTCAATCAAGAGAGGCATTAGACTTGAATACGTGGAAACCCGATAATGATAACATTTGTCTTGATTTAAGTCCCTGGGTACATGTAGAACCCCTGGTCGGGTAGTTGATTCTAAGTTTGATGATCAACAGGGTGTGTCTATCAAAGCAGTTCTAATTGATACTCATAACAGTCTTTTATACAGCAGTTCAAGCCAACTGTGGTAAGTAAGTTCCAACGGCAGGCGATACTTGGATATTGCTACTGAAGAAATAAAAGAAAACGACCATGAAATTAAAGTAAACTTTATTTTGTCGTTGGTTAAGGTGTTATAAGGCCAAGACGATGGACTGGGGAATACCATATAGAATCATATCCCTAAACATGGAGAATACAATATAGAAGCATACCCCTAAACATGGGGAATACCATATAGAATCATACCCCTAAACATGGTGAATACCATATAGAATCATACCCCTCAACATGGGGAATACCATATAGAATCAAACCCCTAAACATGGGGAATACCATAAAGAATCATACCCCTAAACATGGGGAATACTATATAGAATCATACCCTTAAACATGTATTACAACAGTAAGACCAATTACGTCTCTGTTCTTTAAATCCCTTCACCTAGACCAATTAAGTCCCTAATACTTTGTTCCTGCAAATATACCAATCATGTCCTATCATCTTTTCTCTCCTATGGTCTCTAACATTCTAAGCACTCAAATAGACCAATCACGTATCTGTTCTTTATTCTTACATGTACAAATAGACCAATCACGTATCTATTCTTCATCCTACATGTACAAATAGACCAATCATATCTCTATTCGTTATTCCTACATGTATAAATAGACCAATCACGTCTCTGTTCCTTATTCCTACATGTACAAATAGACCAATCATATCTCTATTCGTTATTCCTACATGTATAAATAGACCAATCACGTCTCAGTTCTTTATTCCTACAGGTACAAATAGCCCAAGCACGTCTCTGTTCTTTATTCCTACATTTACAAATAGACCAATAACGTATCTATTCTTTATTCCTACATGTACAAATAGACCAATCTCGTATCTGTTCCTTATTCCTACATGTACAAATAGACCAAGCACGTCTCTGTTTTTTATTCTTACATGTACAAATAGACCAAGCACGTCTCTGCTCTTTATTCCTACAGGTACAAATAGTCCAATCACGTCTCTGTTCTTTATTCCTCCATGTACAAATAGACCAATCATATCTCTATTCGTTATTCCTACATGTATAAATAGACCAATTTCGTCTCTGTTCTTTAAATCCCTTCACCTAGACCAATTAAGTCCCTAATACTTTGTTCCTGCAAATATACCAATCATGTCCTATCATCTTTTCTCTCCTATGGTCTCTAACATTCTAAGCACTCAAATAGACCAATCACGTATCTGTTCTTTTTTCCTACATGTACAAATAGACCAATCTCGTATCTGTTCCTTATTCCTACATGTACAAATAGACCACTCATATCTCTATTCGTTATTCCTACATGTATAAATAGACCAATTTCGTCTCTGTTCTTTAAATCCCTTCACCTAGACCAATTAAGTCCCTAATACTTTGTTCCTGCAAATATACCAATCATGTCCTATCATCTTTTCTCTCCTATGGTCTCTAACATTCTAAGCACTCAAATAGACCAATCACGTATCTGTTCTTTATTTCTACATGCACAAATAGACCAAGCACGTATCTGTTCTTTATTCCTACAAATAGACCAAGCACGTCTCTGCTCTTTATTCCTACAGGTACAAATAGACCAAGAACGTCTCTGTTCTTTATTCCTACAGGTCCAAATAGACCAATCACGCCTCTGTTCTTTATTCCTACAGGTACAAATAGACCAATCACGTCTCAGTTCTTTATTCCTTCAGGTACAAATAGACCAAGCACGTCTCTGCTCTTTATTCCTACAGGTACAAATAGTCCAATCACGTCTCTGTTCTTTATTCATACATGTACAGATAGACCAATCACGTATCTGTTCTTTTTTCCTACATGTACAAATAAACCAATCACGTCTCTGTTCTTTATTTCTACGTTTACAAATAAACCAATCACGTATCTATTCTTTATTCCTACATGTACAAATAAACCAATCACGTCTCTGTTCTTTATTCCTCCATGTACAAATAGACCAATCATATCTCTATTCGTTATTCCTACATGTATAAATAGACCAATCACGTCTCTGTTCTTTATTTCTACGTTTACAAATAAACCAATCACGTATCTATTCTTCATCCTACATGTACAAATAGACCAATCTCGTATCTGTTCCTTATTCCTACATGTACAAATAGACCAATCATATCTCTATTCGTTATTCCTACATGTATAAATAGACCAATCACGTCTCTGTTCTTTATTTCTACGTTTACAAATAAACCAATCACGTATCTATTCTTCATCCTACATGTACAAATAGACCAATCTCGTATCTGTTCCTTATTCCTACATGTACAAATAGACCACTCATATCTCTATTCGTTATTCCTACATGTATAAATAGACCAATCACGTCTCTGTTCCTTATTCCTACATGTACAAATAGACCAATCACGTCTCTGTTCTTTATTCCTACATGTACAAATAGACCAATCACGTCTCAGTTCTTTATTCCTACAGGTACAAATAGACCAAGCACGTCTCTGTTCTTTATTCCTACAGGTACAAATAGACCAATCACGTCTCTGTTCTTTATTCCTACATGTACAAATAGACCAATCATATCTCTATTCGTTATTCCTACATGTATAAATAGACCAATTACGTCTCTGTTCTTTAAATCCCTTCACCTAGACCAATTAAGTCCCTAATACTTTGTTCCTGCAAATATACCAATCATGTCCTATCATCTTTTCTCTCCTATGGTCTCTAACATTCTTAGCACTTCCTTGGCCAATGTAATACTGAATTTCAATCTTCGACGTTCTTGATATTTCATTTCATTTGCAGTCACTTTACACAAATTTTCTACCCATAAACAGATCCGGAATTGCATTTCCAAATACTTACTATCCGTACTGAAACCTGGGACATGTTTTAAAATTAATTAAAATGTTACATCTGAGTTAGATCAATTGTCAGAACGACATACTAGGAAGCCAGGTGTCGCTGGTTCGGTCCGCGGTGGTAGCCGATTCTGTTATCTTTCCTGTTACACCCTTATGCTTAGATATCAACTATTTGAAGTGTTTATTATTTTTGAGTTATTTAGTGAAACACAACGCGAGTATTTCCTGCGGTTGTTTGTAACCCCGCCGCAGCTGGTACGTCCTGGTTCTATATGTCAGTGAAGTTGTTAGTGTGTATTACCACTTGGCTGTACCATGAACGAATCCGATTCGTTCTAGATCTGTCGTGATTGCAAATTTATTTAAATTTTCAGACTGTCTTTTGTTTATGTATGGAAATATTCAAAGTAAACATATGTACATCGTAAAGCTGCAAATCGTGTTATTTTCGCGAGAGGTTATTTTAGCGCTAATTCACAAGGAGAATCATTCGACAATTTAAGTTTTCTGTTCGATTCAATAAATCATTATTACTTTCAACATTGAAATAAAAAAAATCAATCGTGAATTCAAATGTTGTAAATTAACCCCACGGACATGGTTCACGAAATAAATTACACCGGAAAATATAAGGTTTACAAGTTCGTTTTAATGACTTGTATTGAACAGCCATGGCAATCTAAAGAATAAATGTTCAGAGCTCAGTACAAGTCTACGCATCAATAAGTAGGACAATTTGTATGTAAATGTGTAAAACCGTCGCCAAAAAGAGTAATATTAATATTATACAACATTTGTATAGTGCTCTATATAATTTGTAAAACTACTTTAAGGCGCTTTACAGATCATAGATAACAACATTCCTACAGCGAAAGTCATAAAAATAGTAGATAAAAATTAAAAAGGCACGCAAATCAGCATTTTATATCAGGTAAAAAGACATTTATCGCCATATGAATATAAATATATATAGATTATAGATCTATAAGGTGGTGTGTTTATGACGTCTGCGCAAAGTATCTAAAATCACAGAGTTAGATAGCATATACTTCCGTGCTCAAATGCAGACGTAAAAAGTGGGTTTGTATAGCCTTCATGAGTTATTGACTTTCTGGTAGCAGATGGTTAGCTCAAATGAACCGGTTTCCATAGGTGACGGTACGAGATTTTGGGACACTCAACAAGGATCGTATGACACCTGATACAGGGTAACAAGCTCCTGTAAATATGTGTACACCAAAAGTTTGTTCTGCGAAGATGGAGAGCGCATATTGGCTCAATGTCAGAGGGAATGCACAAAAACGAAAATAAGAGTTGCTACTGCAGACAGGATAGCGAAATAGCTGGGGAATACCTCTAAATATGTCAGCAGCACCTCACAACAGAGAATCCGGAAACTGATAACCTATGATTATTATCTACACAACCGCCTCATTGAGACCTTGGTCAAGACGACTTTCCATTCACAGCCATCTATAATCTCACCGTCAGAATTTCATCCGAAGATTATAGCCTTCGGGTTTATTCTCAAGTCAGAACTATCCTTCTCCTTTCCATGGGGATCGCCGAGTGACAATGGATTATGCGATCTCGTAGGTTATTGAAGTCATGCGGCTGTCTCAGATTGAAATACATTGGCCTCATCCCTGTCAGAGAGAAAATTCGTGTTGTCATGAGCATCGCTATTTTTGGCGTCACCTCCCTCCGCATCTCTGGCAAAGACGAACGGCATGTTGAAACCAAACAAACGACTCACGTGACTGACAGTTCGAAAGAGTAATTCATCAGCAAAGAAATAGGTTTGGTATCATTTCCGGTTGTTTTCTTTATGTGGGGGAAACCATAACTTGTCACAACCCAGAATAACAGCTGCTTAAGCGATGCAACAAGGACATGACTTTACAAATGCCCGTTCGAATTATAGGAAAAACCACCTTATATCAGTTGTTGACTCTGATACTCCATCAATACTCAACAACAACAAAACATGACACTGAGCTGAGAAAAACATTCAAAACACCAAAACTACTGAAGAAAACTGGAAAACCTTCAAATCTGGAATCAACACTATTGCACCAACCAAACCGCTACCATTTTCCATGGACACAGACACGGAGAAAAAAAACCGCCAGATTAAAAACAAGCACTGACTGGATGCTAGAGAAGCAGAGATAATGGACGAGAAAAATACTGACAAACTACACGCAGTAGAAACCTTGAGACACAGAAAAATAATAAGAATGGACGAATTCAACCACATAGAACAGACCCAGCAAGCGGGCATCGGCAGAAGAAACAGTAAATCCTCCTAGACATTCATAAAATCAAGAAGTGAGAAATAAACGTTCATACCGACACAAAGCCTAATTACTTAATTGGCAATTCCAGTCCGTCTCCACAAAAGAAACATCAGATCCAACACCAACTATTCATGCAATTTTATGTTTTGTAACATCTAATTTGATATTGTCTATACAATATGTTTGATAGAACTGAACCAACAGTGAAAGATATCCACTTGGACATGCTGGCATGAGAAACCTTTTGGTTATCTTTAACGTAGCCAGTTGACATGACAATATCACAAACCGTATTCATAAAATTTGTGCCATTGAACTTGTCCCAGGATTAGAAGCAATTTTCCAACAGTCTTTATCTGCAGGAATATTTTCTGCTGACTTGAGGAAAACTTATACTGCGTCAGTTAAGAAAAAGAAAAAAATCGCCAAATAGCAAGAAATCACAGGCCTATATCGCCCTCGAGAGTTTTCTATAAGATGTTTGAGCAAAGCCTCTGCCACAGTATGATAAAGCATTTCCAAGTCAAAAGCATTGTTACCAATCACGACATGTTTATCAAGGAAGAAGAAACATTTGTTCAGATATGTAGTACCATTTTTTGTAGTTGTACCGAACCATTTCCCATGCAATTGGAATTATTTTCATTATAAAATTTTGACATATTTTAATATTTTATGATCAACATGTAAAAGGTAAAGCAGAAGAAAAAGATCTCGCCAATTGCTTAAAATTATATCAGTTTTGATTTAGGACAGATACCAATAGAGGGTGGATGCTTTAATCACAGGAACCTCCTCCTCCTCCTTCTTCTTCTTCTTCTTCTTCAAGGTACAGTCCATACCACTTAAGTGTATTCTCGGACTTTGCGTGATGTGAGCAATTCAACTATTCACAGGTGCATTAAAAATCCATTATATACAGTTAAAAGCTAAACCACTATGGTGCACTATCGTAGGTGGGTGGTGGTCAGCCTCTTCGTAAAGATATCAAGTGAGGGGCTGTCTACGACTGCTGATGTTAATGTGTTCCACAGCCTGATGGTGTCTGGAAAAAATGAATGTTGTTAAATAAGTGTCCTAGTGAATGGTATGAGGAATCGATGGTTGTGTCCTCTGGTGTTGGTACCTGGTGGTATGAGTTGGGCTGATGGTATTGCCACTAATCCATTCACAATGCGATACATCATGGCTGACCTTGCTGAACATGCTGCTCACGCTGCTGGTCTGTTGGTAATTTCCAGTGACGACTCGGGCTGCTCTCTTCTGCACTATTTCCATATTGTTGGTATTGAACTGCTTTCGATGTGTTATGTTTGACATTTCAATTTGTGTTTCTTTCAGTATTGGTTTTGACTGAATTAGACCTATAGTTGAGCATGGCAAGTTACTGTTAGAAGGGAGACAACTCGCTCTTTTTACCGTGTGTAATTTCGGAAATCGTTTTCTATTTTATCCACAATACAAGATGGCAGCGCCCGCAAATAGAAAGTTGCAACACAGAGAAGAAGATGCTATGTTTTATGTAGCTTACTGATTGTCATATTCTGAAAGTGCGTTAGCTGGTGTTTGTCATCGCCAATTAAGGTACTTGTTGCATGGACAAATATCGTGAAAATATTTGACTCGCCGCTGTCTGCTAGAAAACTTAAAGCGTTAATTAAGTTTTGTCATGTTTCTTCTTCTACTTCTTCAAGCGTTAATTAAGTTTTGTCATGTTTCTTCTTCTTCTTCTTCTTCTTCTTCTTCTTCTTCTTCTTCTTCTTCTTCTTCTTTAGTTATACAGTCCTCCTTTAATCATTTGAAGATTACGGACTGCTGTGTGTGCTGTGCAGTGCGTGGATTTAAAAACAGTGAGGTTAAAACTATATACATATGGAATGGTGCTTAGAGGAATGTAACGAGTACAGCTGGAGTTAGCTGTACTCGGAATACATCAACGGATGGAGACATCGCCACAGTGGGTGGGAGAAGATTCCACTGGGTGATTGTTCGAGGGAAGAAAGAATATTTAGAGGTGTCTTTGGTTGAGTGAATGTGTCTGAAGGAGAGAGAGTGGTTTTGGCGAGTTCGACTGTCTGATGGTATATGAGAATGGAGGAACTGGGGATGGCGACTAGGTTATGTACTGTCATATACACAAGAATGAGGCGGGCCTTAAGACGTCGTACTGCGGGTGTTGGCCACTTGTAGTGTGCTTAACATGTCAGAGACGCTGCTGGTATTGTGATACCTATTGCAGGTATACCTGGCAGCGCGTCTCTGTACCATTTCAAGTTTGGATATTGAGTCTGATGTGTGTGGGTCCAACAGAGTACAGCCGTATTCTAATTTAGGGCAGACTAGTGGCAGATAGGCTTTACTTTTAATGTCATTGTTTCCTGTTTTGAGATTTCTTTTCAAAAAGCCTAAAGATCTATTTGCTGCAGTGGCTGTATTTTCTATATGTTTGGACCATTTTAATCAGATTGAAGTGTGACTCCCAGGTATTTAGCTGAAGTGACAGTTTCTAGGGTATATGGCTGTTGAGAACGTATTTATGAGAAAAAGGATGTTTTTTGGATGATATAGTCATACTTGTCAGGATGGAATGCCATTAGCCAGTCTCTTTCTCCATTTGGCTGCAGCGCCAAGATCTTGTTGTAAAAGCATGCATGCAGTCATGGTCAGATCTTATTTGTACAAATTCCTTACCTTAGCTATATAGGTTGTCTCGGGCCAGTCTGGTTTTGATAGAGATGTATTAAACCATTTCATAGTCTCTGGTTTGCCTTTTTATCAATCTCTACCAGTTCAGTTATATACATTGTATACATATTTAAGAGGAGATGGGGAAAAAGGCTCGACCAGATCGGAGTTCCAGCCCGGGACCTTTCGAACTCTAACGTTGGTGCAGGCAAATTCGCCATGCACCAAAAAAAATCACCACCCTGTGACGAAAATGCCATATCATTAATGATATGATGTCATAATACATAAGATGTGACGTCATAGTCTTCAACACAGTTAAAGCCTTCAAACATATTTGACAAGAAGAGGTATAAGAAAGGAAAAGTGATATTATCAATTAAAACAGTAAATATATCTTGTAACGCAACAAATCTTAAAAATTTAGTCTGTGCGACGGACATCTTGTCAACTTAACTCATTTATTTGAGGCCTCAGTTGGTTGTGATTTAGTGTAAATGCATAACATACAAATATACATATCTCAACACTAATTGCATGTATATGGCCAACTGAGATGTCAGTGCAAGTAAATTGTTTTCAGGTGTACTTTTTTTCCCCAAAAAATGTACTGACGACCCTATATTTAATGTGACGAATTTGCCTGCACTAACGTCAGATGGGCGCTCTACCAATTGAGCTACATTCTGTCAGACGATCGGTCTTGTCCAGTTCTGGTACAGTCCTTCCTCCTTTTTTATGTCTTCGCCACCAAAGACACAAACTCTATTTACAAACCAGATTCGGGTACAATTCCCGTGCCAAGAAATGCAAAACCAGACCGGGGTTCGAACTCTGGACCCTCCAAATTCAGACAAGCACAAACAAATTGTGCTACCTGGTTGCGAACGATCGACCCAGTCCAGTTCCGCCACTCATATAATATTGAATATACATTATTGTGTGTGGCATTTAATTTTACTTAAAAAGGTTAATAAGTGTTGTATTGTAGTGTCTAGTGTGAGCCCTGGAATTTGGAAATAGATAAAAAAAAAAAAAAACACTTTACACTGAAAGTGGAAAGGAGGAGCGACTTTTTGGCACCAGAAGGTTTCCGGACATGTATAATTATAACAAGCTCAGAATTTCTGCTCTTCACAAACTTGTCATAGAGTAACAAAGGTTCTATCCTTCATTTAGTATGTTTCAACTTATGATTTTTATCTGCTATCAGAATTAACAAATGCTATGAAAAAATTATACATCACCCTGTTGTCATTTATTTCGAAAAGATTATTAAACATTGACTAACGGAGAAGGATGGTTCAAAATGTATTCTATATATCTTTTATTTACAACAACAAATAGTTACCATAATATAAGCATTGGACGCAAAATATCAGCAATAAAAATTGGCCATGCTATATGTATGTGAGAATGATTCAGTATTTTTTGCTGTGGGATCCTGTTAAACCATACAAGCATGCATAGTCCCCTTTGTGTGCATATATATATATACATGTACTCCTATTCTGGATAGATGGGGGCAAAGTAAAATGGTTGTCTGCTGGCAAGATTCTACATGTGAAGTGTATCACCACTATTTCTCATAGAAATAGAGGGGATCATGATGACAGTTGATATGCATCATTCCTAGACTTTGGTCCCTTATTGTGCATGTTTCAGTTTGAGATAGTGGTGAAGGAGAATGGCTGTCGGACAAACGTTTCTGATTTTACATTTAAAGATTTTTACTGCTATGTCTGAAGAAATCGTGAAAATACTTGGTATACATGATCCCATTGGTCCATAGTTGTACTCTACTCCAATTTGAATTGGATATAGCAATTCGATTGAAACTTGGTACCCCATGGTTCTAGGTTCATAGTTGTGCATGCTCTAATTTGAAATTGATCAGAAAAACAAGATGGCTACCAGGTAGCCATCTTAGATTTTGCATTTATAGTTTGTTACAGCTGTCTGTCAGGAATTACCATAGGGACCATATGACAAAATTTGCTTCGAAGTAAAAGGAATCTGAAGAGCAAAATGGCTACTAATCTGTATTAGATTTTGTTGTGAAATGGAATTAAAAGTTTTTCCATTTCTAGGTTTTAGTAAGTACTAAAAATAATGATTGAAGTAGGTATGCTCATACCATCTACATGATCTTTAAAAGGTTGGCACTAGCTATAGGATCCCACTGGTAACTCTTATTTTTCAGATGTCCTCTATATGGTCCAATTTTTCAAAACATCTGTAATTTTTAATTAGGACCTAATTATCTCTGTCAAAAGTAAGTATTTTTTAGAGCATGTGCCTAAATGGCAAGTGAGCTTATGCCATGGCTCCATGTTTTGGAACCGCTTTGAGACGATGACCTACAAACCTAGGTTGTGATAAAGTGGTATATAAAAATTCAAATATTATTATTATACGTCTGTATTGGCACAGTTTTTTTGTTTGTTTCAACTTTTTCTCAATAACCAAGAGCTATTGGGTAATGATATTTAGCCAGTAGTTATAGCATGAAATGAAGAGCATTCAAGTTTGTTCAAGTGGATGACCTTGACTCTCATTAAATGATGCAAAAGTGTTAAAACATTCAAACTTACTAAATGTATGACCAATTGGTATAGAGTCACTATATTTGGCCTGTAGCTTGGCTATGCACTTTGTTCAAATTGATGCCTTGGCCAACTTTCAATGTTAACTATGTTTAAAATCTTTGTTCCACATCTTCTGTATGACCAAGAGGCCCGAAATCACAAAACAGACCATTAGTCCTGTAGCATGCTTGGATGATGGGGTTTCAATATTTTTCAAATGAATGAGCTTTACCTACTTTCAATGTCACATGGAGTCAAATTTGTTAAAATTGCCATTGTCAATTATTTTTTTCCCTTCAAGATACATAGGGTAAATTTTGTTTTGAACTTGCGGATGCCATAGAGCTTTCGTTTGCTTTCTCCATTTTTTGTACATCTAACATTTACGACTGATCCACCATCTTGAAATTGTCATTGGATTTTTTACCGTTGTGGTCATATGTGGTATTTAGGTGTGTTAAAAACAAAACAATCTCTAATGAACAGTGAGGTCTAGAGTCATATTTTTCCTGTAGCTTGCTGGGATGAAGGGCTATGTAGGGCTATGTATCAAGTTTTATGCAAACAAATGACCTTAGCCCTTTTCAGGGTTGAATGTTAAAGACCACAAAGATTTTTTTTACAAAAGTGTATAAGGCCTGATATGCAGTTGTTCTGTTGAACAACCCTTGCCCCACTTTCAGACCATTTGTTCTGTATCCTCTACAGTGTATATGAAAATTTTAAGATTTTTCTTCTTTTTGATTTGTAGATATCAGTCATCATGTCCACTAGTCCAGGATTTAACATTAACCGGTTGAGAAGTCCATATGAAAATGACTTTGAGTGGAAAATGCGTGAAGAATTTCTACAGGCCCATCGTGGCTCTTATCCAGTTCATCGTCTGCTGTGTTTATCAAACTGCTACATCAACTCCAGACTATATGGATGTCGCTACCCTCCCGCCACCATGAAGGAACTGGAGATCCTATCCTGTGATCTCACTACCACAGTCGACAAAATCATGGGAGTCCAGAAAGTGAAGTTTGTTAAAGCAAAAGAGAACACTAAGGTAGAGTTTGTTAAGGCAAAAGAGGTTACCATGATCAAATTTGTAAAGGCATCTGAGGATACGGTGGTGAAGCAGGAAACAACATCTGGCCAAAATCCTATCCCGTCAACTGATAGCGAAGCAACCAGAAATGGCGCTAACGACAGCACTAAAACAAGTTCTCCAAGTGCAACTCCATCAAGTTTTACTAATGCAGCTAAACCCAATATTCCAAGTATGACTAAACCCTGTATTCCGAGTACAGTTAAACCCAGTGCACCAAGTATTTCATCTGTAAAAAGTAGCTTTGCCTCCCAGTGTGTACCCAAACCGGTAGTGCATCCCCCTCCAAAACTGAAACAGAACACACAGACAATGGCTATGTCTCAAACACAGAATAATCCAAATTCAAATGAGATCAATAATTTGAATTCAGATGGAATGTCGCCGATTGACCAAACATTCTTTGAATTAGCACAGGCCTTGGAAGGACTCTTGAAAAAGGATATCAATTATGTACCAGGAGATTTTCTTCCCATAGCTGCAATGAAGACTAAAATGGTATTCTCATATAAGTACAAAGAGGTGCCTGCACCAAAGGGACTCCACAAATTTCAGTGCTGTACCATGTATGATTCAATAGAAATTGCAGAAGGAGAAGGAGGCAACAAGAAGAAAGCCAGGCACAAAAGTATGGAACAGGCTGGCTGTAAACTTTGTAAGACATTTCTTAAAGTGGTGCGACTTAACCCAGAGACACAAGTTTTAAAAGGCTCAGATGAGTACTTTCCCTCAGCTTGGAGTTTACACGAACAACAACCAGACAACAGTTCCGCCGATGTACACAAGGAGTCTAATGCAATGAGTCTGGCAGCTTCTAAGAAACGCAAATTCTCAGAAACATCCAGCGATCTGTCTAGGTTCTTGCTCATTGAACCTACGGAACAAAGAACAAGTGACAATGCTAAAGCTGTCCTCCAGCGTAGTGCAGACTTTAATAAGGCTCTTTTGGAGTACGAGTTTCATGATGAGGGGACAGGTGTGCGATGTCGAGTGATACTGGAAGGACATATTTTGGTGGAGTATTTTGGCACAGGACGCTTAACAGCAAAATCTACAGCAGCAGAGAAGGCATTGGAAGGGCTCAGGAAAATGTGCTGGACAATCAAAGTAAAACAGTCAGTAGATTCTGATGAGGCAGGTCTGAGCCGGGATGAAATCTTTGGCGAAATTCAGGCACAGGTTAAAGCAATACCAGAAGACAACAAAGGGAGGCAACTGCTAATGAAGATGGGCTGGACAGGAGGTGGTGTGGGATCAGAGGGAAACAAGGGACGCGAATTCCCAGTTGCCGAAGAATTGGAAACAAATAAGGTGATCGGTCGTGCAGGACTAGGATCCAGCACCTCCTCGGAAAAAGAATTCAGAGCTAAGGTGGTAGAAACCTTGGAGAGTTATGCAAAATCGGGAAAACAGGAGGACTTGATGTTCACAGCAGAATTTACAAAAGAGGAACGAGCATACATTCACCAACAATCTCAAAAGATTGGACTAAAAACTCAAAGTCGGGGTTCAGGTGAGTCTCGCTATCTGACAGTCAGTCGGAGACGATCAGCGTTCCAATTGTTTAATCATTTAGTGGAAGAAGGCGGCTCCACAGCCAAGTACGAACTGGTGGCTCCAGGACAGAGTTCCCAAACTTAGCCCTCCATTATCTCATGTGTAGAACAGCACAACTACACATGTAGACCCTTTACTTGTGATTTAACACTTGATACATGTAGTTGTGGAAGTTGTGTATGCATGTGCATATAAATGTTTTCAAGTTGTATCTGATGTTATGGAAGAGAAGAAAAAGCTACTGTTTCTACAAGAGATGTTTTTGGGAGTTCTTCATCTACATGTATATCTCAGTTTCTTTCATGTTTTGGTACGCTAACATAAGTGTATAGGCAAATTTTTAATGGTAATGTCTGAGTCATGGTTTCATGTTAATATATCTTTATTTGATGATTAATTTGTTGAAGATGATGGAGAGAAACATTGTACCGTAATAATTTTGTTGTTGCTTAGACCTTTCTTGGTAGTTTTTTAATTTTTCTTTTACCATGGATGACATGTAAATTGTGGAAGAAGGGGAATAACTCTGATCTTATTTTCTATTCATTGGGAATTCTTGTGAAAAAAAGAGTGATACATGGATTTGGTTGCATAACTTTCATTTAATGTATGAAAAAGAGGTTTGAAATATCTTGATAAGATCAATTTCATGTACAGTAAAATCTTGTTAATTTATAGAAACTTTGATTCTTTAAAAGAATACTGGATCAACACATTTTCTTGAAAAGAAATGTTGCTTATATTTTATTTGAAGCTAGCATCAACTGTACAATATTTGTCGATAGTAAAACATACATTTTAAAATGTATGAGGGTACTGATACTTAAATCATTTCTTTATAATCACAGTTACTTATTCATATGCTTGTGTGTGTATACATGTATAACACTGCAATTACTGGATCATTTGCATGTGTAATGATCATCATTGATGTCATTTCACTTTTTATATGGTTGGTCCACATGCCCAGAAATACTCAGGTTTTATAGGAAAGTAAAACTAGGCCCTGCAAAAATTGCTGCCAAAATGGAAGACCTTTCCAAACATTTCCTGAAACTAATTAAAAATGAACAAATTCGGTTTGCTTGTTCAACTACAGACAAAATTGTTTTCACAAAATTTACTGCTGTTTTCTCTTATTTTTCATCTTTGGAAGAAAACCAACCGGACATTTACTAGGATTTATTTCATGTATGTTCCAAGTTTCAGTCCATTATACTTTTAATACAATTCTGTCTTAGTGTGTCTCTTTGTATATGTTTTTTTTTGTCATGGAAATTTTTACTGGATATATCTTTTTGAAGAGTTTTAATTTGCCATGGCCATGTAACTGTTGTAAATCAACTAATTTCTGCTTTGTTTTTTCAAATTTTGTGCTTAGTTTTCATTTATGACATCTTGAGTTAAGAACTAATAATAGTTTCTTCAATACAAGTCATCTCTAAAATTATATAATTCATGCATTTGAAAATACTTAATTTCTTGTTAGTTCCCTTTTGTTTGTTTGTTTGTTTGTTGTAGGGGGAGGGGGCTTAATTTGTGATTTAGGCAGATATTACAAACTGATGTAAATCATCATCGAGGATATATCTGTGTAAAAGTGATAAATGTTTTTGAAGCACGTTTTTATTTTTGAGTTATGAGAATGGCAACAAGCTGAGATGTCCATGCATTATGGTAATAAACCTATACATCTTGTGTACTGGATTATTGTTGTCTGTGGCGGTGGCCAAGTGGTTAAGTCATCTGACATTCTGCTACCACTAGCCCTCCACCATAGGGTCGCGAGTTCGACACCTATGTGGGGCAGTCGCCAGGTACTGGTCGTTGGTTTTTCTCCGTGAACTCTGGCTTTCCTCCACCATCAAAACCTGGCACGTCCTTAAATGACCATAGCTGTTAATAGGACGTAAAACACAAACAAACATACAAACTGGTACAGATTCACTTTATCCTGTGTTTCTGCCATGAGTACAGTTGTTCAAAGCATTTAAAGTTAATACAGACTTTTTATCAAGGATATTAACTTTATGTAGAGGGATTTAAATAATTACCAACTGTAAGGTCAGAATCACTTTTCGTAAATTTTTAGATTTTCTCTAAAATGGTAGTTTGAATATTTACATTATTTACTTGTTAAAGAATTGGACAACATGGCCCTATTCCTCTACCTATTCACCCGTAAAGTCATATCTGGACTTCACCAAATCAACGACTGGGCAAGTCCATGTTAAGAATGTAGGGGTGAATGAGTTAAATTTGATCTAATTATTATCATGAAACTGATTACTATTTATCCCTTGAACAGTTAAAACACCTTGTGAGGCAGCCTTTCATTTTGTAAGACACTAGATCATCAGGCCAAAACCCTGATGCTTTGGAGTGTTGGAATTAGTCCAACGTCTGGTTGTGTCAAAATCTGTCTATTAGAAAAATATTTTTTGTGTTCATCTCATGACATGTTTTTTCGTTCATATCGAAACATTTCTTTTTTAAACAACAGTGACCAATTAAAAGTTGAATGTTAACATTGTGCGTGGTATGGTGCACAGATCTTGTTGCTGTATATATATAGCAATAAAAGGTTAACATTGTGCGTGGTATGGTGCACAGATCCTGTTGCTGTATATATATAGCAATAAAATATGTTAAAACTATACAGCATTTGTTGCAATTTTCTGGGTGGATGAGTTTAAATGTACATGTGATATTTGGCTAATTTTCTGGGTGGATGAGTTCAAATGTACATGTGATATTTGACTAATTTTCTCAAGTAGTTAAACTATATCTGTAAATGTCTTCAGTTTTATAATTTAGAAGAGTTGTTAATTGTCTTTTGGAGATTGTTTGGCCAAACAGTAGGGGGTGGCACAGAATGGAAAATATTCAACATGCATGCATATCGTCATGTGAAAGGCAACAAAAAAACACCATGTAAAACTGTATATTGTAAAAAAAATAACACAAATATCTGAAATAGTTTTTTAAATAATTTATTTAACTTAAGTTCAATGATTTGTCATCTCCATACCTTCATCGCGTCATCTTACCATATAATTCAACTCTCCTTGGAACAATTACGATTGGTCATTCTTACAGATTGTTCCTATGGAAACGGTAACAATTTCTATTGGTCGGAGTAATGGGATGAAAAAACTATTAAATCTTCTTCATCAAAGTCACAGGTGTATTTTGCCTAATAAACTCATTGTTCACTTACCAAATTGCAAAAAAAGGAGGTTAATTAAATAAATTGATATACAAGTTAGAAATATTTTCCAGTCATCATAAGCAGGTAAGTTGCTATGGATTAATTGATTGTACTGATTTTGGTCTGGATTATAAACCACTGTAGACCATAATGGACTCGTCCAGATGAACGTATTGTAAAGTCTACTCAAAGTACCTACGGGTGAAAGAGTTGACGGATACTACCAAAGGTATATGTATTGTAGATGTATTTATATGCATGGTCAATTATCATTTTCTCAAAAAGATTATACATCATTACTTAAATGGGCACGTGTACTTATTACATCAAATACTGAATCTTTACCCTTCTTTTACCGTACTGCACCAAACTTTCTGTTTTCAGTTTATTTTATTGTCTAATGATTTGAATCCAGATAGTTTATTGAAATCACCAGTCCTGTGACGTCCAGGAAGAGGTTTAATAGGAAGACTACAGGTTTCGGCTATGTTGGTAAAGGTCACTGGACACACATCAAGGGGAGCTAACATCAAGGGGCACATAACAGTATAAAATCATAATGAACAAGATGTAAATATTTATTAAATCATTTCTCGTCCTCTCCATAATGGCATTAATGTGTTTATTAATGCCAACACAACTTTGCATAAGTACCAATCTGGTTTACACTGACGAAGGTAGCCATCTTTATATGCCGTTTCAAAGTCAAACACGAGCTTGCATTTTCTTTGCAGTACCAGACTGTCAACAGTCCAGTCACATTCAACTACATTAGGTGTCAGTGTAACCCAAAGTATGCTTGTAACAAATATTTACTTCAATAATATAATGATGTTAGTCACATTGAGTGTATATATATATATATATATATCAATGTTTCTTAAAGTTCATGAAACATACGTTTAGTTTATTTTCATCCACTACATGTGGAAAATAGCATACACAATTCTCTAATTCATATTAACAAAAATCAAAATCAACACTTTGCACAAATAACAAGGAATATGTCAAGAATAACACATAAAAAGAAATGAAAACAGATCTTTCCCTTTGAAGATCTTTCTTGTCGGTGACGGGCAAAAACAACATTTTCAGAAGTATTAAAATAAAAACCTGGAAATAAATGATTCCTTTTATGATTTAAGGTGTTCTGTCAAGATTCATATAAAATACCGTAAATAGTTGTCATAAACAAGATACAATAGGTATGAAAAATAAACGGACTTGGAAAATGGATAACCTCGTAATTGAAACATACCAACTCATATTGGTAATAATAACTCAAACTAAAAACAGAAGATTCAATCATTACCGTAATAAAAGTACATCTCCATAATTAAAACAAAATGGACCATAAAACCCAGATAACCTGCAGAGCTTGGTCATATATATTTTCTGTCTTTGCGTATTGCAGAGTTATCTTCTCTTGGGAGCAGGTATTGATTGTTACATCATTGGTTTCTGTGAGAAAATTACGTCGTCTTCACAAAAATTGATGACGTTACTCTCACAAACAAGTGACGTAACAATTAATACCTGCTCCCAAGAGAAGATAACTCTGCAATACGCATACGGAATAGGCCTTTCAAAACAAATTTGCCCAGTTATTGAGTTTCGCCCACTTATGCTTACCAGTACTGCTAAATATACTACCTAAATTTACAACAGTCTGTGCCTACATAATTTTGGAAAATAAAGCACTTTTTTGGCTAGGGGAAGCAGTCTGTATTTGGCTTTAAAACCAGGCAAAAACCATCACTGTATATGCATAACTTAGGTTATTTCCCCATCACATGTTGAATTCTCCTTCAAGAGCAAAACATTGGCACACAATCTTTTCTTGTGTTACTGTAGTTTTTATGAATGACACGGGGACAAAAACAATTACAGAGATGTTTCATTCTTTACGTAATTTGTGAGTAATTTATGTTAATTACCTTCCGCCTTAACCCATGTTTGTTTTTTGAGGTAAAGAGGTATGCACTCTCGCACATTATAACTACAGTTGGTGTAAGAGTTAATTATTTAAGGAGATATTCTACCTCACATTTGAAATGAATTTGTGTTACAGTTAAGGTTATATGCTACCTTACACATTATAACTTTAATTTGTGTTCAAGTTGAGGATTTATGCTACCCTACACATTAAACAAAAGAAAAACACTAAATAGTGAAGTGTTTTCCAAACCAAGGCAGATGAAATAAATAAAACAATACAGGAAATAAATAGTTCAAATAAAAAATATCACAACTTTTCAGAAATATTCTCAACATGGGCATGGTGGGTATTTTAAAAGGCGGTATGTGTCAATCATTTTGGTCTCCAAGGTGATCTCATTGCAACATAAAAATACACATCCTAAGCCCCTCCCACTTCTTTCATCCTGGTTGTTGACTGGTTGTGTCATACAATGTCAGTGCTTGTATAATGGTAGGGTCCTTCTTGGAACCATCAAGAAACTCATCAAACGAAAGTTTATCATCCTTGTTCTGGAAAAAATAATTATATACAAGTCAATTGTATTGAAATAAATTTGCAAAGCATTGACAAAAGAAGTATTCATTAAAATGAATGTACATGTACTCAATTGGCTGTTGAACATTATGTAAGCAATGGGCTGAACCATCATCATACTCTCGGGGCCAAGTCAAAATGTCTTGTTTTAAATTCTTTGATTTAGAGCCCCTGCATCTCCCGGGATCCGTCGTAGGAAGTCTACAGAGTCCGCCAAAAGACCAACCCATGCTTCCAACCATTTAATGCTCTCATACGGCTTCATAAAAACCATGGTTAGATTACCCAAAGGAAGGAACATTAATAAACTCTGAACTATTGCAAACAAAATGTCTATGAATTGGGCGTATCAACCTACTGCAGAGGTACCCTATTTATAACATTACATAGACCTAAGGTTGTAGAAGAGAAATCAACAGACAAGGTTAATTACATGAACTTGTTGTCACTATTTTACAAAGTGTTCCAGTGAGACGTCGAATTAAAACCTAAAGAGGTATACACCATATTCAGCAGCGCATTCACAACGATGTCATCCCTATAGGAGTTCTACTGAAGTTTTGACCCCTTACCATACCAGAATCTACAACTACTCTACTAAAGATAGAAAAGATCATGATGCAATTCCCTCTGAACTACGTACACAGATTATCTTCTGTTCAACACTTTCAAGAGCCATCCCAGTATGACAGGGATCAATGTCATAAGGGAAATGGTTATATGGCCACTCTAAGAGAGGACCTTTCCTTCATCTAGGCCTTGGACTCAGAAAATTTCATTATCTTTATATATTGTTTAGTTTATAGTAGGTTAAATTATTTCCATCAATCAAGTTGACTTTAACCTAGCTTTACAATAAATATTAAAATCTGTTATTTTAAGACAAGTATATCTACCAGCTGAATGTACTACAAACTACCAACAGACAATTCAGTATGTAAAGAGTTTGCATCATCTTAACTATTATAAGGTCCCGCTAGACAACATTTTTATTGATGTCCTTTTAGATATGTATTGGTATTGGCTTAACAGAGTTATCTATCTTGAAATAACTATTGATGACGTCACAATACAACCTATTGTTGTTTATGACGTCATAATTTCTGCCATGGTTAATGATGTCACTATACATATAAATATGTAGAACAATCGTATGTGCCTGTATTTTTAGTACTTCAGGAGTAGAAATATCCTATAATTTTGTCCTGAAGAAGCCCACGGTAGAGGCGAAACCGGTCGACACTTCTAATAAACTACAAAAACTACCTATTGCTCCTTCGCCTGTTGTGATTGAATCTATTTTCAAAAGTTACAGTCTTTATACAAAATTGCTTTCCCTCACCCACAGGTGCTCCATACTAAATCAGATTCAATTCTGCTCTTGCCGAATTAGGTTCAAATCTGTTTAACCATGCTTTAGAAGTAGTCTTTAGAAGATTTACCCGTTTCCCCCTCTTTTTTGCCGTGCCCTTCGACTCCATTATTTATACAAAACCTACGATTCCTTCATTTGAAATAAGACCTGTCCTATACCACAAATAAACTGTGACATTCATTAGCTTACTGGCCATTTAGATGAGATTTTGATGCATATAAGATGCAGTTTCATCATACCATGCCATTTGAATGCAATTTATCTAATTACCAATTGAAATGTTAAAAAAAATAGAAGAATCAGTAGGAATCTAAGGATCCTTGTCCCATTGTGCCTCCAGAACACTTGATCATTCTACTGTAGTTTTTAGTACATAGTTACCTCCCCTTAATTTCAAATCCGCTATAACTGAAGTGCAACTGGGCCATTGGGTACTACCACTGTCATGTAGCTCAGTTGGTAAAAGCACCAGTACATTGATTAGAGTTTCAGGGTTCGAGTCCTGGTCTGGCACTCAGTTTGATATGTTTGTAATTCCTGTTTTATTATTTTTTCTCCCATGAAACTATAGTCATACTGGGTAAAAGGTTTTCAATGCAAATTCATTATTTTTTGCAGCGGTATGAAGAATCTTAAGCTTATAATGGTAAGACTACAATATCCTACTGCTTGTTCAGTGGAATTAGTACATTTACCTTATCCATTATTTCAAATATCTTATTGACTCGTTTTTCGGGTGTATTCTCCTCCTCTGGAAGTTTGACAGAATTTCCCTGAAAAGTAAGAATAGTCATGAATGTAATCTGACCTGTGATATTTTAGAGGTGCATATCCTACCAGTCAAGACCCTTATATCTCAAACTTTTCAACTCAACTTAACCACAGATAATAATTTGTGAACCGCTTTGAGACGACCTACGAACTTAAGGTTGTGATAAAGCGGTATATAAGAACCTCAAACGATTTCCTCATCCGTTTTAATAGTAACATAATGCTTTATGGTTGCATCAAGACCTGACCCAAGTCTCATAAGCATGCCTTAACTAAAATTTTCAATAGTGAAGTATATTTAAAATTAAGGGAAAATTGTTAAGTATTATTTGAATTTAATGAAAATCTGAAGGATTTTCCCTCCTATTGGGATTGAATCATAATAAAGGAATAATCATGAAACTAGTACCAGGGGGCTGTCATTCATACGCTGACAAGCTTCATAACAAGTTAATGCAAATATTCATTAGATATTATATTCACAATATTGATTGTAATTGCCTAAATTTTATTTGCTTCTGTACCAGGTTTCAGAGGCACAGGTGATGACAAGAATGGAGAAATTATCAAAAGACATTTCTGAAATATCTCGTTTCAAAAATGTTTGAACATTAACATACAGTAGAATGTTGATTATATGAACCCTGAATATCTACAGTTCAACAATTTATACCAGTACCTCTCCTATTGGGTTGGAATAATAGACTCTCTGCTGTATATTCAACATATTTGGCAATATAGATTCAATATTTTGAAATATATTGAATTTTTTTTAGCCATACTGTTGCTCATTTACCAAAATATAAAATACAAATAAAAACAAAAAAACTTACCACCATTTTATATATTGCATCCACTATATCCAGTAGTTCTTCACGTGTGATGAAACCATCACTGTCAAGGTCATACAACTTAAAAGCCCCTTAAGAAAAGAAAAAAATGATTTTTTTTTATCACATACCTGGATAATGTACGTACTGTGTTATCCAGTGAATATACCTATGTCATATGGTTTTTTTGTGTAGTTACTCATGTAATATGACCTGTGATTGGTTGTGAGGTCACAGACTTGCGCATTGGAGTCAAAATGGCGGCTTTTTACATTTCAATCGATAAAAAGGATCTTACAAGATTCTATATATATTGTATAATTACAATGATTTCATGATTACAAAACTTTCTAACTGACATTGTTTAGAAAACCATTTGTTTCAAACATCTCGCATTATCAGCTGACATCTCATGACCTTAACTCAGAATACATTGTACACCTCTATGCACCAAAGTTTGGAGAAATATTCATATCCAAAACAACCCGGTCAATCAAAAACCTCATTGCTGCCATTTCAGATTATGGGATCTGAACAATAATTTTGTCCTTATTCACAATATTTAAGCATTACATTACATTCTGTTCAGAGATATAGTTGACCAACTCTGAACGTAGGGTTTGCAACAATACACTATCAGGGGTCTGGCCCCAACACTAGGCACTAAACCCAAGAGTCATAACCAAGACCCCCTAATAATACATAATAATTTACACATCCATTTAACACATACAAGCTAGGTCGTTGAATTGGACATTGAAATTGTTGTACAAAGGAAGAGTGTAGCTTCCCTGGGGGCTCAAATGGGAAACGACAGGTTAAATAAAGGAAGGGTGTTGTCTCCCTTGTTACCGAGACGCAGATCGCAAGAAAAATAGTTGCAATGCATGTATCACTATCAATGAAACCATTTTGCCATGATACAGGCCCTCTGGGCCTCTTACTAGTAAGTGTAACCCTGACCTTGGCATTAGGAACTTTTTAAACCTCTATTTCACATCTTCATATTTACATCAGTGTATCACCATGGTAAAAAAAAGTTTGAACTATTTTGTATTAGTTTAGCAGTATACAAAATAATGTAAAGGATGTAAATGGGCATTAATTTCAACTGTTTTTTTCATTGAAAACATTTTAGCTATAGGTTACACTCAACACACTTTAACCCACCATTTCTCCAACTCAAACCCATTTTACTGGTTCATTACCTCTTGACAGCAACCACATAGCTTCTGTAATTAACAATAAGGCTTTTATGTTTTGACAAATTGTTTTTGGCTTAGAAGCGGGGTATCTGCTATGTGAGCTTGGCAGGCAGAAATAATGATAGGTGACAGGGCAAGATTCACTGCTGTTATACAAATTGAACACAAAGTATTAGCATCATGTTCTGTTAACCAGCTTCATGTTTTTATTACGTGTTGGTAACATACATGGCATGAACCGAATGGTACATACTTACGTGTGTTATGGATGGGAAGACATGTCAGTCTTGTTAATTACAACATGTAGTTGTGTTGTTGCTTTTTTTTTTTTTTTACTTATAATGGCCTTTTTACATCTGACCTTGCAGTAGTATCTGTAGAATCCTGTAACCAGTATATACCAACCCCTCTTCTATAGCTGTCCCCGACATAAATGGCTACATAAAGGACTATGTATGGTTAGGGCCTGTTTTGCCCCCAAATACATCAAATTTCAAAACCTTTAAATGAACTTTGAAATGGCTGTTTCTTAAATTTTGAGTACTTCCCAAATACTATTATGAAAATATTTATTTATATTTCTAATTATTGTTGCCATGGTAACAAGTTCAAATTTGCATAAATTAGAAAAATTAGAATAATCAGTGAATATAGTGTTATTTTGCATAGTTTTTCTCCTAGAAACTATAGAGCGCATGCTTGAACAAACTTAATATCAAAGGATAATGTGTAGGCACCTGTAATACATCTTTAGGAGAAATATAAAGATTGTTCAAGAGTGCACTCTATGGAAGCTAAGAGAAAAACTAGGTGAAAACCTGTCAAAACTGACTGAATAATCAAATTTCAATAATTTATGCAAATATGACCTGGTTACCATGGCAGCCAAAATTGAAAACACAAATAAATGTTTACATAATAGTACCGGGGAAGTATGAGAAATTAAAGAAACATTCTTTTGAAAGTTCTATTGCAGATTTTTAATTTTGATTGATATGGGGGCCAAAAAAGGCCCAAACTATACATAGTCCTATAACCTTTGTTATCTTTAACAATGCAAAGTATCAGGATCGACCTTCTCTGAAACAGGTATCCTGAAATAGCGATCAGAGGTCAAAATAAAGATCACAGTGACCTGCTTTTGTGGTAGAGTAGATTCTATCATCTCATGATATACCTGCATACCAAATTTGGTTACTCCCGGAGGAATAGTTCAAAGCTAAGCTTGGACAAACTTTTCCAATGACAAAGGTCAGAGATAAAAGCATATATCACAATGACCTACTTTTCAAAAGATCCACTCCACCATCATAAGATATCCTTTCATATACTTAATTTGATGAATCATGGTGAAACAGTATAAGAGGTAATTTTTTTCAAATGATTAGGTCAAAGGTCACAGTTACCTACTTCTCATACCCGGTAATATACAATCAGCCATCCCAAGGTGTACTTACATACCAAATCTGGTTACTGCAAGTGAAAAAGTATAGAAAATGTGCTCTAGACAAACTGTTTCCAAAACAAGAGGCCCATGGGCCTTAACGGTCTCCTGATATATTTATACAGAGAGTAAATTTTGTTTTTAACATGAACATAAATATTATTCAAAGTGACAAAAAACAATAAAACCACCTTATTCAATATCAAGCATACAGATTTCAGACTAAAAAGTATTTGAAACTAGCACCGCTGATTCTAAACAAGGAAAATGAAGAAATTTTAGTACACTGACTCCTATGAGCCCCACCCTACAGCCCTTGGGGGTAGGGCTGGCTCAAAATTTTCAAAGTATCACACTGTCAACTCAAGGTTATAATTCCAATCAAGTTATTAACATGTAATATTCAAAGTATCATTTGCCATTATAAACCATAATAAATTTTGCCCCCCCCCCCTCCCCAGGGGGTAAACGTGAGACCCTAGGGTCATAAACCTTAAGACCCTTCCATCTATATGAAGAGTATTTGATTCTACCTTATCTGGGTCTTGAGAAGAAGATTTTTGAAATTTTAGTCAATTTGACCCTTTTTGGCCCCGCCCCTCAGGCCCCTGGGGGCTTGGGACTAAACCGGCCACTCTTTTTGTTGACCTTTGTCCATGGAAGGTCCCTGCAAAATTTCATTGAAATTGGTTCAGGGGTTTTGGAGAAGAAGTCGAAAATGCAAATTGTTTACGGACGGACGATGGATGACGGACGACGACGGACAAAAGGCGATCGCAATACGTCACTTGAGACTTTGTCTCAGGTGACCTAATAAAAGGCAATGGTCACTGCGACCTACTTCTCCTTCTCTTTCTCTGCCATCCAAAGATGTACTTACACACCTGTACGCTGAATTTGTTACTCCAGTTGAAACAGTATAAAAGATATACCTCAGTCAGATGGAATTTGGATAGATCAAAAAACTGTTTCCAAAACAAGAGGCCCATGGGCCTTAACGGTCTCCTGATATATTTATACAGACAGTTGATTTTGTTTTTAACATGAACAGAAATATTATTCAAAGTGACAAAAAACAATAAAACCACCTTATTCAATATCTAGCATACAGATTTCAGACTAAAAAGTATTTGAAACTAGCACCGCTGATTCTAAACAAGGAAAATGAAGAAATTTTAGTACACTGACTCCTATGAGCCCCACCCTACAGCCCTTGGGGGTAGGGCTGGCTCAAAATTTTCAAAGTATCACACTGTCAACTCAAGGTTATAATTCCAATCAAGTTATTAACATGTAATATTCAAAGTATCATTTGCCATTATAACCCATAATAAATTTTGCCCCCCCCCCCTCCCCAGGGGGTAAACGTGAGACCCTAGGGTCATAAACCTTAAGACCCTTCCATCTATATGAAGAGTATTTGATTCTACCCTATCTGGGTCTTGAGAATAAGATTTTTGAAATTTCAGTCAATTCAACCCTTTTTGGCCCCGCCCCTCGGGCCCCTGGGGGCTTGGGCCTAAACCGGCCCCTCTTTTTGTTGACCTTTGTCCATGGAAGGTCCCTGCAAAATTTCATTGAAATTGGGTCAGGGGTTTTGGAGAAGAAGTCGAAAATGTAAATTGTATACGGACGGACGACGGATGGCGGAAGACGACGGACAAAAGGGGATCGCAATAGGTCACTTGAGACTTTGTCTCAGGTGACCTAATAAAAGTCAATGGTCACTGCGACCTACTTCTCCTTCTCTTTCTCTGCCATCCAAAGATGTACTTACACACCTGTACGCTGAATTTGTTACTCCAGTTGAAACAGCATAAAAGATATACCTCAGTCAGATGGAATTTGGATAGATCATGATCAAAGGATGCACAAAGTGCAAACCAAATAACCAGTAGGAGAATACATCTATAATTTCCCTTGAGTGGCATCTTCATGACCACCAGTGAGCAGGGTCATCATATCATTTCAGCTCTTGTGAATATATTACATGTGGAAAAAGTATTTAACATCGAAATCATAATGAGACTTTCACTTTTCGAGATAACTTACATTGTAACTTTTCTTGTACACTCCCTCGTGAAGTCACCGACAACGCTTGGAGAAACTCCTGGAATTCTATAAACCCATCCTGTCAACAGTCGTCAGAATAACACTGTAGTACAAACACTTTAATAGAACTTAGGGAGTTAAGACGATTGAAATAGTTTTCATTCAGATTGCTTACATATTAGAATCCTTCACCCCTTGTGTGTGAAATAGTTTGAGATTTTGCAGGGTTTTATGAGCGGTAACTTCCAAAATTGGGGTTGAATTGACCCCGCTGCGGGAGGTGTATTAAATCGTGGTTTTGGCTATTTTTTACGGATTTTCCGTCACTTCCCTGTACAATCAGGGGTGATAAACCCCTATGAGAGGGATCTCAATCCAGTCGTTGAGATCTGAAAGTTGCCAAAGTTGAGGCTTGTTGAGTGTTTGGCAACTTTAAAATCTTCCCTCAAAGGTTGATTTCCCCCATCTCACCCATAATTCTTTTTGCCTTACCCTCTTGTCCAGGTCATATATATGCCATGTTGGCATTATAATGAAATGTTGATGTGACATCATACAGTTGTTAAATGATGGGGGAAATAATCCACCTGAGTAAACCCTAAACACATGTATGAGGATATGGAACACTCGGAAAAGTGAAGAAACACCTGCGATTAATATAAGAGAAAACTGATTCCTGACGTTATTTTCCTGTTCGCAGCAGTCGTGTTAATGTGCAGGGTTCCACAAGTTGTATTTATACTAAATGCTAGCATTAGAACAAAATAATATGCATCATGTATACAAATCATAGATTTAACAGCATTAATGCACGTGATAATTGATCCACACAGTGTAAAAATAACTTATGCAATACTACTGATAGTCATTGATTATACAGCTGTAATTGAATTCAAGGTTTTTAAAGTAATTTTATCCGTTATCAGTAATTATGAAAAAAAGTCATTCTTTGAAGTTTTGTATTTCATTGTTATAAGTGAACTTACCCTGTTTTCATCAAAGACATTAAATACAAAAGATGCAAATTTGCTTGGATCACCGAATGGAAAAAACTGCTTGTAAATTTTTGTAAAACCCTGAAAAAAGAAACATCATTGATCAGATCAGAATAAAAAGATATTGAATGCATGTACCATCATAACCTAAAGCTGAAGCTTTGCTATTCTACTGAATTCGTGGTAGATTTACTGTTAAAATAGTTCGTTATTAACTGGAATTGATAGCAATGTCAAATGGGTTAAGATAGTTCAACTTTGGCATGCAGTTGAGTTGTACTAAAAAATTCAATAGCAAAAATTTTGTCTTCAGTAATCAGAGACCATATTAATGAAACTAATCTCATGCTCATGCATGGATTTTGTGCTCAAACAAACTTTCTTACAACTCGCTTAAGTCATGTGACACGGTCAAAAATCTAAGTCTAGACACTGAAAACAATATTCAGCTACAAGTCTCTCAAAAATTCTTCCAAATTATTCACAAAATGTGAATTTGTATTGCTTTATCACTGGAATAAGAATTTGAGCATGGGAATAGTTTCATGAATTCAAGTCCAGGAGATCTATCAATTGAAGTAGTTATCGGTAAGTTGGAAGCTATAAGATTGTAGAACTTTGGGACATTATATATGTACATCTGAGAATTACATTTAAGTCTAATATCAGGGTAAATATACATACATCTAATGTTAGCTTGCCATCTGGACAGTCTTTCATGAACCCTTTGTACCTGTATGAAAACAAATAATCTCCATCAATTACGAGTCTCACGCTCGTGGTGGGGGTTTGACATTCCCAGCTTTCTTATGGTATTATCATGGACACAGTTGGTATTCACATGTATGATCTGGGACCTGACACAGTAAACATCACCATTATAGTCACTATGTTTGTATTGTTTGTGATATTATCATGGACACAGTTGATATTCACATGTATGGTCAGGGACCCCACACAGTAAACATCACCATTAAAGTCACTATGTGTGTGATATTATCATGGACACAGTTGGTATTCACATGTATGATCAGGGACCTGACACAGTAAACATCACCATTATAGTCACTATGTGTGTATTATGTGTGATATTATCATGGACACAGTGGATATTCACATGTATGGTCAGGGACCCGACACAGTAAACATCACCATTATAGTCGCTATGTGTGTATTGTTTGTGATATTATCATGGACACATTTGATATTCACATGTATGGTCAGGGACCCCACACAGTAAACATCACCATTATAGTCACTATGTGTGCATTGTGTGTGATATTATCATGGACACATTTGATATTCACATGTTTGATCAGGGACCCGACACAGTTAACATCACCATTATAGTCACTATGTGTGCATTATGTGTGATATTATCATGGACACATTTGATATTCACATGTATGGTCAGGGACCCCACACAGTAAACATCACCATTATAGTCACTATGTGTGTGATATTATCATGGACACATTTGATATTCACATGTTTGATCAGGGACCCGACACAGTAAACATCACCATTATAGTCACTATGTGTGCATTGTGTGTGATATTATCATGGACACATTTGATATTCACATGCATGATCAGGGACCCGACACAGTTAACATCACCATTATAGTCACTATGTGTGTGATATTATCATGGACACATTTGATGTTAACATGTATGATCAGGGACCCGACACAGTAAACATCACCATTATAGTCACTATGTGTGCATTGTGTGTGATATTATCATGGACACAGTGGATATTCACACATATGATCAGGGACCAGACACAGTAAACATCACCATTATAGTCACTATGTGTGTGATATTATCATGGACACAGTTGATATTCACATGTATGATCAGGGACCCGACACAGTAAACATCACCATTATAGTCACTATGTGTTCATTGTGTGTGGTCCATGTACATTGTGTGGATCAAGAATCTTACACAAGTCCAATTACCTGAAACAAATCTAATTAAATAAAGGAGATGATTTATTTATATCAAAGGCAAATATACATTATATAATGACATTCAAAAATTTGGTAGCATTTTGTACCAGCAAGTTACATTTGTACTGACCAAAAGACAGAGGACAGAGGACAGACCAAGGGTGATTTAAACAGCCCACCATTTGACGGTGGTGGCCTAAACTTTTATGAAACTACGTAATTTATTAAGGAAAGATTTTGTTTGACATTGCAGAGTTTTATATTAATTATCCATTTAACACACCTTGCCTGCAGGTAAACATACACCTGACTGATATATTTGGTGTCTGGCCGAGTCATTACAAAGACATACTTACCATTGTTGAATTTCCTCTTCGGTAACTGTAAATAAAAAAAAACAGCATTTGATTACCACACTGAAGGAACCATATGGATCCTATTATCAGTTTTTATACAAAGGAGAAAACAATGGGTATAACTTTGCAGAGGCCATTAACCCTTTCACTACTGTAGACCATACTAGACTCATCCATATCAATACATGGGAGAGTCTACTAAAGTTACTTAGGGGTGAAAGGGTTAACAAACTTGTGTTGCCATTCACTAGTGACTGTATAGCAGCTATATATAGCCTGTAAACGGACCAAACCCTCCCTTGGGCAAATATCCAATATTAATTATTTTCCTTTCGTGTTTTTTCAACAGAATGCTATCAGGTACTATCATGGTACAATTTTGGCTATTTACCTATAGTGATAGCCTTTTTTGGGTTAACATGTATTGTAAATATTTTGCTGATGTCATCTACTAGAACTGTTTAGTACTCATAGTACTCATTTCATTTTAGTCTTTCTCGAGGAAAATTGTTTGTCTTTTGAATGGAATTATAAATTTGACTAATCTTTCTTTTGAAGTGGTGGGGAGGGGGCATAATAGGGTGTAGTATGAGGGTTATGCAACATGCACACATGTTTTTTCATTACACATGTTTTTATAACAGAAGGACCTAATGCCCCAAATAAACGTCTCTCTTACAGGAAATATTCCCAGTATCGGCCAAAATCATTATAGACGATTGTCATCTTATAGAGAGGCTCATTGTAGATGTACAGGTACATTTTGTACATCCGAACCTGTATTAAGGGAACATTCATGTTAAGTCCAAATTGTGGTCTCTTAACACAGGTGGTCTATCAATGGAGGGGGTCACATAAGCAGGATTGATTATAAACATTATGGATGGTGTTGTAGTATACAGGTGTTCATTATTGATAGGAATAATTATGTATCTCTGTCCATATGATAGACCTTGTCATTTTAAACAGGTTTCCATTATAAACAGATGTCAATTTATACAAGTATTCATTTAAAGACACGCACGAACCTGAATAAATTTCTTGTCTTGGATGCAGTTTTGAATCTCTGTGTATAGTTTTCATTTTGAGTTTCAATTATCGTTGTAATTGTATCTGTGGCCAAATTTGCCTGAAAATGTCATTTATAAGCTTATCAGGCTTTCAAAAATACCACCCTATAGATACATTTGGCAAAACTTTACTGCAACATTGGTATGGGACGTTTTTTGGTACCATTCCAATCTCAACAGTTTCCAGTTTAATGGGTTAAAGGTATGATGACACTAACGCTAATATGTATAGCACTGTATTCCTTACCTCCAATCCAAGTCTTCACCCATGTGTCTATCTCATTATTTCTATATAATCTAAAATTTGTTTATCATCCTTAAGATCACAGATTTCAACATGCAAATTGAAATCTAGGGTCTTCTGCAAATTACATGTATAACAATCTAAATTGCATGTGCCTTCGCCTCACTTTGTCAGATTAGGAATGCGTAGGGTTACCATATTATCCCTAATAGTCATTGATCTGTGAGGTCTGGGGAAACTGCTCATAGAGTATCGTTTTCTGCATATTAAACCATCACCACTTCAATGAAATTCCATCTAGAAACTGTAACATTCCATACCAATCATTTCGTAGTCTCGTTCAACCAGACGCTTGATCACTTGCAATTCAAGAATCTGGTCAAACACAGTACTTTAAAATTACCATCACCAGAGGGCAGTGTTTTTACTTTCGTTTTCAGACGTTATGTCAACGCCATTAAACATTTCAATGAAAAATGAAATTAATGAAAAAACTGACCTATACATGCATTCCTGAAGTACCTGTGTCTTCACTATTATCAAGAACAATTTAAGAAAATGTGTCAAATCTCCAGAATATTGCCATATATTTCCACTGAATAAATCATAACTGAGCACAAAGCCAACAAGGCTGACTGAAGTTTGAAAAAGCATGCAAAGCAAGTGAGATTTTACCTGTACACTATTCAAAACACCTAAAAGTTCTCACTCAGGTAATCTGGCTTGACTTGTATCAATAGCCTTGTTAGCTTCATGAATTATTGTAAAACATCCAATGAAAATACATGAAAGCATTCTTTTTGAAGCATTTTCTAACATTTTTCTCATTAATAATGAAAACATGGATACTTCAGAAATACATGTATAGATAATTTTTTCATGAATTAAAATATCCAATGTAATTATGCGCCACTCAAATTCTGACTTCAAAAGTTGAAAAGGGTGTGTCAACCAATGAAATCATTTACCAGAATTCCGGTAAGCCTCGTTATGATGTCACAAAACGAAAGCACTGGGTTTGACCAGACTCTCTGTTCGTCGTAGCTTGCGCAGGCAATAGAGTCTGGTTGAACGAGACTAATCATTTCGTAATTGTTTCGCAGAATGAAACGTTAGAAATAACAAAATTGTAGGGGATAAAGTGAGCAGGAATTGTGACTGGAGTGTGATCCAGTCCTACACTAAACGAGTGCAGGAAGTTTCCAGGATTGTTGAGGTCTGTTATAACGACATTCACCAAACCTTCATATACACATGCTATTGGCATACAGCATACAACCAGTGATGACTTAGAAAACAGTTAAATATTTACATTTCTATTTCTACAGATGCTAGATAAATCTACCAACTCAAAATGGTGTTCATTTATATGAAAGCATAGTATAAAGAACCATTACACATGATTTTTTTCCAACCGGAATATGTTTGGGTCAAGGACCAATCATGTTGCAACGTCAAATTCAAAATTTAGCAGAAATACCTGCATACTGGTTTCTGATTGATGTTGTTGCCTCACTGCCTTATTGGGGGAACTGCTGATAATATCTTCAACAGACTTTTAAGAAATGTTACACCCATGGTCAACTCCTAACTCACCCCTGAATTTAAGACATATTTGAACTCTTCCAATTCAAAAGTTGGAATAGTTCATTATGAAATTTCAGGGGTGAGTGAGTAAATATAGTTCTTGGAATACTTCGCAATTTTGTTTTTTTCATTTTGCCCATGTTTCTGACAGAGTGGGGGATATTATAATTAGTTGGCCTACAAATTACAGTTATCAAATCTTTCTGGGAGGTTTCTATTGGACCATGATTCATTTTAAACAAATCAATTTGCCAAATGCTTGAACAGACATTTTTCCAGAAACAAGAAAACCTTATGCTTGGTAACTATATCATGTTTCAATGAGGCGAAAAACATCAATTGAAAACATTATGTAAAGTATACCCCTTATGTATCACTCTCACAAATTGGCCTGATATACCTCAAGGATGGGGTTATTTTCTAGGAATATTATGGTAAGTTGTTTTTGCTGCAACAGTGATCAATACTGACAGACCAATTACCATGACAGCTGGCATCACAAAACAATCCGTCATCCCTAAATTACCAACATAGATTATTCCATCCTTTCATTTCGCATACATATTAATGACCTGTATGGGTTATGGATCAAACCATCGGTGATGTGATTTGAAAAGAAACTACACAGCAACACTGGAATGTTTTGGAAACTTAGGAATGGTTTCCCCAATAGATAAATGAGTAATGACGTTGATATCTAGTACAAGATAAATAAAATGAGATATATTGTAACCTGAGTGTGATTTATTTGTGATAACGTATGTAAAAAACTTCCCAGGTATATATATGATCTATGGTGTAACCTGTGCACAAGGTATTAACTCATTGACCCCTGAAGGCACATTTGAACCCTTCCAATTCAAAGGCTGGAATAGTTCATTATGAAATTTCAGGGGTGAATGAATTAAGGTAGTGAAATATTTTCAAATCTGCTGATCATTAATTGATAGCAGTCAAGCGTACTTTAGGCGGGTTCAAATCAAAGTTGAATTGCTTCAGTGGCTGTTGCCTGATTGTTTGACAGCATGCAGATACACAAATTTCTAATTTTGCCTGGAGTTATTGACAAATGTTGTGCAGCAAGGTAATCTAATCTAGCAAACTTCTTAAAAAAAACTCTACATCTCCCAACTTCCTGACTGCAGAATATTTTCCTCAAGTGTCCAGATAAACAAGGTTCTTTAATACTGTAGAATCTAAACAAGCCAAATTTTCATGCATACAATCATACAGTGTCCAGACTATCAATTTGGTTCCCCCTGCATGACCTATATAAAAACAGAGCGACCAGACGTATAAGGTTCCCCTGTGTAAATATGCAGTGTCCAGACTAACAGGGTTCCCCATGTATAAATACAGTGTCCAGACTAACAGGGTTCCCCCTGTATAAAAACAGAGTGTCCAGACTAACAAGGGTCCCCCTGTATACATACAGAGTGTCCAGACTAACAAGGTTCCCCTGTATAAATACAGTGTCAAGACTAACAAGGTTCCACTGTATAAATACAGTGTCCAGACTAACAAGGTTCCCCTATATAAATACAGCATGTCCAGACTAACAAGGTTCCTTTCAATACAAACCAAAGTGTCCAGACTAACAAGGTTCCCCTCTATACAAACCAAAGTGTCCAGACTAACAAGGTTCCCCTGTATACATACAGAGTGTCCAGACTAACAAGGTTCCCCATGTATAAATACAGTGTCCAGACTAACAAGGTTCCCCTATATAAATACAGAGTGTCCAGACTAACAAGGTTCCCCTGTATAATACAGAGTGTCCAGACTATGAAGGTTCCCATGTATAAATACAGAGTGTCCAGACTAACAAGGTTCCCCTATATAAATACAGAGTGTCCAGACTATGAAGGTCCCCCTGTATACATACAGAGTGTCCAGACTAACAAGGGTCCCCCTGTATACATACAGAGTGTCCAGACTATGAAGGTCCCCCTGTATACATACAGAGTGTCCAGACTAACAAGGGTCCCCCTGTATACATACAGAGTGTCCAGACTA